AAGAAGATTGAAACAGATTGAAATTTGGGTTTTTGAAAACTGTTCAGCCTAACAGTTTTTCAAAGTTGATCTCTGCTGTTTGCAACTTCAAAAATAATGCTCAGGAGACATATTTCTTTGTCTCGAATCTCTGATTTTGTCATTTCCATGTAATTTCTTTGTTTACTTTAAGTTCCATAGCGATTGAGGGCGAGTAATAGGCAAAATTAAACAGAATGAACTGGATCACTGCCGTGACACAGCCCCTTTAAAGTTTATTTCAAGGTTCAAACTGGGCAAGGTCAGGTCCTAGTTCTTGAGATTAGAAGAGGGTCGTCGACTTTAAGTTATAAAGATTCTAGAGGGGATCGTATGTCTTAGTTGTTCTTGATATTTGGGGGGAGTGATCTTAGATCTTACTTTTTGAGACTAGGAGGTTTGTCAGGTTTGACCAGTTGTTCAAGAGTAGGTTGTTACTAACCTGGAAATAATGTGGAACTTAGTTTCTGTTTCTCTTTTTCAAACGTCTTCCATTGTAAAATTTACCCAGTCATTTCAGAACATCCAAACATCCTTAATATAGTTTTTAAAGGATTTAGAAGAAGAATTAATGTTCCATGAACGTTCAGATCTGAATTTCAAAGTTCACTCTAACTGCCTTACCCTGCTTTGAACAACCTGCTCATCTATTAAAGACTTCAAGGGAGAGGAAAACAGTCACAGCCTTGTGTTATGCACATCTTTTGACAAAGCAAAAATATTAGAACTTTATATTTATCAGTTAGGTGAAATTTGAGTTCAAAATTTAGCAAAAGCTAATCCAAAAGGAAAGTGAAAAGTGATTTTTAGTAGTAAGAGTAGGTGAGGTAGAATCTCGGGTGTAAATGGCACATCATGCTGGAGTTGATTCCAGTTTCCATAGCTTGAAGTGACTAGGAAAATTTCTCTCCCCCTCTGTGGGCAGACAGGGTAATTAGTTGGTGTCTATACCTGCCATTTTTGACATTATTTCAAGGGTCACTTGGGTGAAGGCATTAGGCAGCAGTAAGAAGTCTGTGCCCACTTCCTCAATACTTTTCTTCAGTTTTCTGTGGCTAGGAGACTATTTAGACGATGTACTGTTCCATACAATAATTGTATGGAACAGTACATCATAATAACTTGAAACAGAGTTTTCAAGCACAGTTTTTGTAGTAGAAACCAGTAGCACTGACTAACAACATTGATCATCATAAGTCACAAATAAACAACCACATTTCTACATTTACTAATGAAATAACAAAATGTTTAGAGAGATAACATCATTAATTAGTTTATCTAGTACTTCCTTTGAAACACCACTTGTAAATGGTTTGTTGAATAAGTTGCCATTAGTACATTGCTACTCACTGACTAGTGCGTTCATTAGCCAATCAGATTGCAGAATTTGAGACAATGAGCTTTTGTTTCTACTGAAGTGAAGCACTCCCTGCAACCACTCTTGTAACTGACCAGCTCTAGTTACAACCACCATTGTGAAACCCTGTTTGAAAAGCTAGCTCTTGTAAGCGACTGCAACCACTTTCGGGCCATAACCCAACTGGACTTTTCCTTTGTTTTTAGGCTCTCGTAAGCTACCACTCAGAGTTTTATTTATATAAATGAACATAAATAAATGAAACTGCACTCTGTGCTAATGGTTCTTGTACAGTTTAGTATTGTATTATTTTGTCAAAGTACAAGGTCATTTCCTAAGTGATCACTTAGACATAAAGTTTAGCCGTGGCTATATCAGATGTAAAGATACTAATTAAACATTGATTTCTTTATTTTTCTGTATGAATTATTAATGAGTTTTGAAGCTCTCGTATAAGCGACCACCCTCTATTGTTTTAACATGCAGTCGCTTACGATCTGATAAGCAAGCAGCTCTATATATAGTCACAACCACTTTCTCAAATTTCCAAGGTGGTCACTTTCGAGAGCTTCTACTGTAGTCAGTAAAAAAAGCTATCTAGAATAATTAAGTTTATTTAGTTCAGATGTTCTATTCCGAGTGCAATCTTTATTGTAATGAGTGTTAGTTTTGTAGTAATATTGCTTTTCCTGTGGCAGGTGGTTGTTTTTTTGTGAAAAAATATATTTATTTTGTTTTACAATGCCCAAAATGGGATTACCATTCTTTCCTTTTTAGTCCTCTTTTTTTCCCAAAAACAAAACAAACAGAATCAAAGATGGTGTGATATGCCTATCGATCATGAGCAACCACAATACAAGGTTTTAGAGGTCTTGTAACTATGTCAAACTTCAAGTGTGGAGAAATAAAAGAGAACATTGATTTGGTGTGTATTAAACAATGTTGTCACAAGTGAAGTAGTTTGATGTTTGAACAGGGCCTTTGATCAGCTCTGAGCTTTCAGAATCCTTTTTCTTGAAATAAGGACTGGTTTTTCTTCTTGAAAAAAGAAATTTTTTCTTAAAAGCAGAAGTTTAACTTAAGAAAATTAAATTCTTAAATAGTTTTTGAATTTAAGAAAATACCTGCTCATAATAAGAATTATTTTTCTTAAATTAAGATTTAGAATGCTTTTTACTTAAAATAAGGCCTGTTTCTTATTTTAATAATTTTCCCTTGAAATAAGATTTTTTTTTCTTAAAACAAGAAATTTCATTTCAGAAAAAAAAACTCTTAATCTGTAGTTTAATTTGAGAAATTTTGTTCTTAAAACAAGATTTTCAGGTTTTAGAGTGTTCTGCTTCGTTTTTTTTTTTTTTTTTTTTTTAACCGTCTACGGACCCGTCTACGTTATACAGCATGCCCGGTGGTGATACCTCCAATGGACAGTCTGGTGCGATAGCGCCGCCATCGTCGACTTTTCATCAGATCACTCCGCCGAAGTACCTTGACTTGAAACATAGTGGAGAAATTGCCGAAAACTGGAAGCTTTGGAAGGAGAAATATATAATTATTTTGTCATTTCTCGTTTGGATAGGGAAACCCCGGAGTTTCAGTTGGCGATGTTCAAACATACTATCGGAGATGATGCGTTGAAAGTCATCAAAACATTCAACTACGCCGAGGGGGAGAACTCGAATCATTGGCGCGTTGTAATGGGAAAAATGGAGAGCGAAGCATTGCATCGGCGAAGTCAACGAAATTTACGAACGATACTGTTTTAATATGCGAGACAAGCTTCCAACAGAGTCGGTTGATAGTTTTGTTGCCGAGTTGAGGAATCTGGCCAAAACATGTAATTTTTGTGATTGTTTGCGGGATAGTTTAATCCGTTATCGTATTGTGCTTGGAATTAAAAACGAGCAGATGACCAAGAAGTTGCTGAGAATGAGAGATCCTTACTCTGAATCGTTGCATCGACGTGTGTCGCAGCGAGGAAGTTACTGAGTTGCAAATGAAGTCGTTATCTGGGCCGGTGGATAACATTACGACGTGTCTAGATACCCGGCAGCCGGGAACTGTTTTCAAAAAACTAGATACCCGGCAGTCAGAAATTTTGACCAGTTTTCTCGAAATAGCTCGTTTAATTCCTCTAAGAACATAAGATATTTGTTTAGAAATGTCAAGCGATTATAAATATTGCCTTGGGTTAAAAGTAGAAGCGACTGTCGAGCTTGGGCATAGAGTGAAATCTCAATGTTTTCTAACACACTAAGTCAACTCCCGATGAATATCCACAGAAATTATCAACAAAACCTCACCAGAGTATTTAGTGTTTGTTCAGAAATGCCAAGCGATTCTAAATAAAGGTTTTCGTATTGTTGTGGACAAATTCTCCGCGCTTGCATTAAGCATATTCTTTAGAATCTTGACTCACGGGTACGGTTTTCAAAATACTAGATGCTTCATCCCCCCCCCTCCCCCCTTGTCATATTAAATGAACTTTCCCTTACTTCCCGGAGAAGCCAGTAAGTAAAAATCGAAAATCGATAAAAATTGTTAGCGATCAAGTGATTTTATCGATTGTTAATGGAAAACGGTGTAAAGCTATCCAGAGAAATCTTTTAGTCTGAATTTCGAGCATCCCTTCGACTCTAGAGGATGTCTGAATGAAATTCAGGCCGGGAAATCTTTTAGCTAAAGTTGTATAACACTGTATAATTTCTCGTGGTACTTGCCTGTGAGAACTGTGAATGTAATTAAACCGAACTGTTTCTGTTGTTATGTACAACAGGGTCATGGTTTTTAGAGATAATATTGTGTCTGTAATAGTTTCCACATTTCTTCTTTTCATGTTTGTTGATCAGTTGTCACTCGTGAATGTGTTTTGTCAGCAGTACTATTTAACTGATGCCAAAAAACAAAACAACAATGTTGGACTTACCGTTATGAATCGTTAAAATCATGAAAAATTGATAATACCGATTTGACACAGCAATTTAGTTTATCGATTTTCACCGATTTCTGTTATAAATCGATAAAAATCACTTGATTGCTATTGATTTTTATCAATACCGATTTTTATCGATTGACTACTCCAGGGTATATGGATTCCAGGCGACGAAGCCTCGCATACAGGTCGGACCAGGGAAATATATGCCCGTTTCTTGACAACAGTGCTACAAGACAATAAAAAAACAAGAAAACAAACCTTCTTGAGGGGCTAAAAGGAAAATGAAAATAAAACTAAAAGATCGTTACAAATAAGAATTTGAAATATTGGTATAGGAGACTAGGTGGTATATTGTTTTTATTGCCACATTTTAAAATCTTTTCTTGCTTTTTTTTTCATTTTTCTTTTAGCCCCCGAAGAAGGTTTGTCTTCAAACCGAAATATTGGGCAATTTGTTGAAATATTTATATTTTTGTTTAATTCTTTTTTTAATTCTTCATCACCTTGCCGTAACGATCAGTTTGCCGTTTCATATTTTTCTACAAGTTGAATTGTACTGATCCAAGTCTACAACTGGGAGATCCGGCACCACTCATTGGTTTGTTGCTGTGGACTTGCTGACATTTTATATGTAATAATCCTCAGAATAAACAAAAGCTCTAATCGTGTACTCACAAAATTTTCAATAAAGTGAAACGAACGCCACCTGGGTTTCCTTTCTTTCTGCACTTTCAGCAAACGATGTTTTAGGTAGTTTTTGTGTTTGTTTGTGTTGTTTTATTCAATCTTGGGACCTGGGGTTCCTGTGGTATCTTTGAAAAATTTTCACACATTTTTCATGCTGCTTATATGGAGGAAATATCGCGATAAGGGCGGTATGCTATTTGGTTAAAGAGGGTGGAAAGTTCGCATTTAAATATTTCTTTCTTTTTTTAATTTGCTCTTATTTATTTCGGAAACTTATCAAAACTGGGGTCGATATATTTGCCAGAGTACTTTTACAAGAAAGCAGGAGGCGACTGACATTGACTTTTACCTTGGTAGTGTATGGACAGTTTTTAAGACGGTTTACAAGAACTCTGCTGTGGTTCAACAACAAATCTCCGATCCTCCGTCAATCATCATTGATCCTGTGGACTAAAAAACGTCCTTTTCGCGTGCTGTTTTCTAATATCGTCACTTGTGAGTAGTTTCTAGCTGCTGGTTTGCCTGGCTAAAGAGGAATAATCATCTCCCTTGGAAACCTGTTTTCGTGAAATTATATTTGCGGTTTTGTAGCAGACGTCAGTAATCGAACAGACGACACTTCGATGACTGCAACTTTGGTCGATCAGTTTCAACATCGGTCACCTTGGTTTCAAGTGTTTACAATGCTGAATTCGTGGGTGATTTCAGTCTTATGAATAACCATTTTCAGCTTCTGTTACTGCACTGAATATGGAAAAATTTATATGTTTCCGGCCGGTGCCTTAAGCAGAGTTCAGACCAACCCAATCTACGTACTCGGTCCAGCTGAATCCTCTTATTTTCTCTACGAAAAAGCGTCTTATTTTACTGTTCTATCATGCGATTTAGGTTGAAAAGAACCTGTAAATGCCTAGGAATTTTGGTAACCTGCATTATTGTTTATTTTTTCGTAAACTGCGGTTTTGAAGGCTGCGGAAAACAACAACTTGATCCTATACACGTGGCAAAGTCGCATCCCAAACTCGGGAAAATGATAAACATTGAAGACTTCTGGACTCCTGTAAAAACGAAAATAGTGCCTGACGGAGCAGGATCAAACGGCCAACCTGTTCAAACGGCCCCGGAAAATCAGCAAGACAAAGATCGCGCTTACGCAGAGTATGGTTTTAATCAATACATCAGTGATAAAATTTCTTTGGATCGCACGATCAAAGATACCAGACATAATGCGTAAGTATGATAGATATCATGCATGGCTCACTATCAATGCTCTGTTTTTGTGTCTTTGATCACGCTTTCTTTGTTTGAAATAGATATGTATTTTGGTCAAGGTTCCTAAAAAATTAATGAGTTGAATTTCAAGCTCTCTTTATGAAAGAAAGTATATAGTAATTGCTTTACTTGTTATTATATTTTTGTGCCCGTTGAGATTTTTCAAGCACTTTCAAAAATACTCATTGACTTACTCAATTTTTCTCTTGTGAGAATTAAAACAGTTTCAAAAAGTTTCTTTTGGGATAGTGCTGTATTTGTAAATATTTTACCTTGGGAGTTGATAGCTACCTGATTCTGTGTAACTTATAGTTTTCTTGTTCAAATCAATTATTTATAAAATGTTTGGTGTAACATGGTTACGATAACAAGCTTGTAAGCTTTTGGTTTGCAAGTTTGTAACGGAAGAGTTCTGTGTCCATGGCAGTGTCACTTTTCAGGAAAAAATAACCATATTTAAATATTTTCTTGATTAAATTCCATGACCATGGATTAATCCTGGGTCTAAAAGGAAAAGTTGTAGGCAAACCCCTTTAGCATTTATTTATCTATTTGTGAATATACACAGGTGTCAAGTGTGTCCATTAATATTTCTTTTTATAATAAACACTGGACCCTAATAAGCTGCATTCTTAAGAAAATGCTTCATCCCCTCGGTCAAGTCTAAAATAAATACTGGAAGTACAGCCCGGGGGATACTCCCTCATATAAGCCATATGGGTATGTGCTGCCCCAATGGTCTGGTTATCCACCCTTTTGGTCTGAAAACGGGTATAGACCCTGCCCATTTTGGTCTGGAATTGGGTATGGTTTTTGAGGAAACTACTGGAGTAAAAAACTTATTTATTGTTTCAACTCCAAATTAGTAAGACAGGAAGAGAAATATGCCAGTTTGGAATAAATCTTTAGAAATTTTTTTTGTTGGTATTCTAATCTGAGTAATGAAGACATAATTTCTTAGAGGCCAGGTCTGAAAAGGGGTGTGAAAAATGACATTTTTTGGTCTCAAATAGGCTCAGGACTTGGAGAAACAGGCGGCACACCCCCACCAAGAATTCCCAGGAGTACCCCATACCTCACCCAGGGCATTACAGTGAATGTGTTAGAGGTCAAATTTAATTTCTAGTTAATTTTGACTTAACCAAGGTTAATTTGCAATTTTGTAAATCAACCCAGCCAGGTTCATATGAAAATTTCAGTACTGAAAAGCTCAAAATAAATTTTACATGCTGATTATTTTGGTCATGCTTATTATTAAAGCGGGTTAAACCAATATCCTGTCTTTTACACATTAGTAACAACAAAATTGTTACTATGCTATTTTTATGATTTTATTTCCTTTAGATGCAAGAAACGAACATACCCTTGGAGTCTTCCAAAGGCTAGTGTGGTAATTGTGTTTCATAATGAAGGTTGGTCAACGTTATTACGCACAGTACACAGCGTAATCAACAGGTCGCCACCACATATGTTGCAGGAAGTAGTAATGGTAGATGACTTTAGCAATAAAGGTCAGTAATTTACATTACAGTAAGATATTACTGCTAACTGCATGCTTAGCTCTACAAATTGGATATTACACTTCGACCTTTTAAGTCTCAAGAGTGATCAGCATCAATTTTCTCCTCACAATATTAATATTTAATCCAGAGAAAAGATTTTGACAGTTAATAAAATGATCACCAAAGAAAAAGAGCTTTGATCTTTTGTCAATTTTTCTCAACTACTTCTTTAAGTAAATGTGTGGAGATCAGTCTGGAAAATTTGTGTGTTGATACAGATGCTGAAAGGGTTGAATTGCTCAGCGGGACAACACTCATGGTCTTAAAATAATGAAGAGGAATGTGCTGGCTTTGCTTTGTAGATGTATGCAAATGATTAGACATTTTTATCAGTCTTCTCTGACCTGCTTTTGTGTCAGGACCATTGACCCTTTAAACCCTGATATCAAGGTATAAATTCTCATTTGTTGTCTCTATACATTTCCTATAGAAATAATGGGGAGAAGTTGTTACAGTATCAATTAAATTCATCTTGTGTTATCAGTCCCTTAATTCTTGTGACCATAACAAAGATATTACAAGGAGAAAGTTGATGCTGATCACTCTTACGGCTTAAAGGGTTAAAGAATCCCCTGTGGTGCTTGAAAAGAAAGTGGGGAGTAGATTCAGGTGGCGTGGTCAATGTTTTAGGGGCTGGTTGGTTCTCTTACAGTAATAACTATTATTTTGGGTGGTGAATGTTCAACCAATGATTTGTAAGATATAGAGAATAATTACATCACAGTAATACTAATATCAACCCCAAGCCACCCAACCCGTAAAACACTGACCATATCACATAAGTCTACTCACACATCCCTTCTCTTTTTAAACGGTGCAGCAGCAGTTATCAGTTTCTTGATAAGCAAGTTGATACGGGCTACCTGTATCTTCTGGAACTTTAGGGCTCTGGACCTACCAGTATGGTATAAATAAGAAAAAAAGCCTCGAGTTAAGTACAATGATTGGGTTTGATGTCAATCACTAAAATGACATGTTAAAAATTACCCCTTTTTTATCCTTTTTCTTCTGCAGAATTTCTAAAAGAAAAACTGGAGGATTATACAAAGAAATTAGGAAATGGGATAGTCAAGATTGTTAGGACCAATGAAAGAGTAGGCCTGATAAAGGCAAGATCAATTGGTGCCATTAATTCAGTTGGAGAGGTTGTACTTTTTCTTGATGCACATTGTGAGGCTAATGTTGGTTGGTTACCTCCTTTGCTGGAACGTATTGCTCTTGATCGTCGGACTGCAGTTTGTCCAACAATAGACTTTATTGATCATAACACTTTTGAATACAAACCTATGGATCCTTACATAAGAGGGACTTTTAATTGGAGATTTGATTACAAAGAGAGACCAGTTCGACCTGAAGATATGAGGAAAAGGAAAGATCCTACTCAAGAAGTCAAGTATGTTTAGAAAAGAATAATTTCTGTTATTTGACCTGTTTAACACCGCTTATTTTGAGGTTTATATTTTGAAAAATGTGCTAAAGGTAGGATCTTGGAAATATATGTAAAAAAAAAAACAATATTCAGTGGGGATTAAGTTTGTTGATTTGCAAGATAAATTTTTGTCCAAGATTTTGGTAGCTGTCAAAAAAAAGCCCGCAGATTGCCTTGTTTTGGCTGGAATGATTTGGAAGGTTGAAACGGTGAGCGACTGGCTTTGAGTCATCATTTTATTCATTCTCTTAAGATCTTGAAGATGTTTTTGGAAACCATCACCTAGTTTACTGCCTGTTTTGCCTTTGTTGTTAGAATGCAATCTCTGATACTGTGGCTCCCCCACAGTGAAGAGCTTTGGTGTGAACCAATCGAAATCTATGGTTTGCTGGTGGGTTCATGCAATTTCTAAGGAGTACTGACAATGAAATTTAAATGAACAACTCTGCCTTTAAAGTATCTTGTATTTTATTGGTTCTGGTTTACATGAAACCCAACGTTCAGTTCTTTAGATCAATCAGTCAGATATATTTCTGTTTCTTTGCAGATCACCTGTGATGGCAGGAGGACTTTTTGCTATCAATCGAGAGTTTTTCCATGAGCTTGGACTTTATGATCCAGGAATGTTTATCTGGGGTGGAGAACAATATGAACTTTCCTTCAAAGTAAGTTAATTCTGCTCCTTATTTACACGTCAATCACTTTACAATCCCAAAATAAGAATGCTTAATTATGCTCACTGGCATATTTTGCTTATTAAAGTACCGTCTTTCCTTCAAAACTTTTTCTTCATCAAAACACTTGAAGTGAACATCTAGTTCTTTATTTTGCCAGATAATGCACATGAAAGAACTCTGTTTGTTCACAGAGATAAAGATAAGTGGTTCAATGGAGAGGAAAATATTCCTTTGTTGATACATGTCAAGTGAGGATAACCTGCAGTGCAGGTGTATTTTGGGGAGGCAAAAGCTGCTTGTTTATGTTCAAATAATTGTTGTTGTAGCTGCCATCTTTGATTTTATGACAGAGGAAGATTGGGGAGAGTGGAAATAGCAACCCTTAGGGTAGATTGTAGGGCAAAAGAAGGAAAGGTGGGAGGGGAGAGTTTTCTTGTCTCTCTCCCTACCCCTTCCCCCACCCCCTTTGAGTCGTCCCACTTCCTCCTCTTGTTTGGAGTTCAACATAGCACTTTTTTATGTGCAAAACATTTGCGTGTACAAAGAAAATGCCTGCACTGCAGGCTTAAGTTAGAAAAGAAGGAGGCATTCCTCATGAAAAAAATAAAAAAGTGAGTGGGGGAGTAGAGGGTATGGGCAAGAGGCCATTTTATTTGCTGTAGTAAAATGGTAAAGGTGCCCAGAGCCCCACGTGGCCAGAGCTGAGGTCAGTTTCGGTAGCCCAAGCCCCCTGGGAGTATTGCTACCAACCCCAGATGCAACCTCGTTCCCAGGGTCCTCTCGAGTGCCGAGTAGGAGAGGACCCTGGGAATGAGGTTGCCCCAGATGTGATGCTAGTACATTATTCAGGATCAAATGTTTTGACAGCTAACTCTCCTGGCAGCTATATTACGATGAAAATGTGGACATGTTCTTTAGTGATAGTCTAAGGATTATCTTTAATTTGTTGCTTACCGGTAGTTATGGCAGTGTGGAGGCCAGTTGGAAAATATCCCTTGTTCTCGTGTGGGTCACGTCTATCGACATCATGTCCCATATTCCTACCCGAAGGCTGATGCTACTCTCATAAACTTCAAGCGAGTGGCAGAAGTTTGGATGGATGAGTATAAGGAGTGGCTATATGACAAAAAGCCCGAGCTGAAGAATGTAGACCCAGGAGATATCAGTGATCGGGTCGCATTACGCAAAAAACTCAAGTGTAAAAGTTTCAAGTGGTACATGGAAAATGTTGCTAATGACACTGTCAGGTCAATTTATGAACCTCTTAGGGCTAATGGTCCAGTAAGTAACAACTGAACAAAACTATATAAATTACTAGCCTGAGCTGTAATTTTAATTAGTTAGATAGCTTTCAGTATTTCAGATTTTGTAAGCAGTTTTATATGCATGATCATGTCACTAAATTATGTGGAATATAACTTACATAGTTAATAAAGAGGTAACTTCTAGGGATTATGACACTTAAGATATACCTCGATCACATCTCTAATAATACTGCTTAACCAGTAGAGGTGAACTAAAGAGACAAAGAGAACATTACATGGCCAACAAATAAGGAGACTGCACCATTCCAGAACTTGTTACAGCCTAAACATTGGGTGGGCTTTAGGTGATCATTTCATTGATATTGATAATTTCAGTAATTCTCCTCGCTTTTCCTCTGAATTATGTATGGTATTGTAAGCAGAAAATTGATATTGGTCAATCTTGGGACTTGAATCAGGGTACAGGAACAGGCCCAGTGAATTTATTGCAATGCCAGGCAAACTGTAAAAGATCTTGTTAAATTTTACAGTAGGTAGTTAATGCAAAAGATGACTAGTTTCTCTTTCGTTGTTCCTTTCTTCTGAAATAATAATTATTTAATAATAATTATATCAGAAGGAAGAAGACAAAGAAAGAGACAAGAATCTTGAGTCCTGGGAGGATTCAAACCTGTAACAGTCCAGTCCAGTCTGGTAACAGTCCAAACGTAGGGTAAACCTCAGGTAATCAGTTCATAAATGTTAAGGTGAAAGTTGATGTTGGTCACTCTCGAGACTTTTAAAAAACATTAAAAAATGATAATAAGACCCAGTGTACTGATTGCAAGGTCAGGCAGACTATCACAAACAAAAAATGAATAGCTTAAACTTAAATTTTCTCATCAACTGAAGTACAGTTCTGTTATTTAAGGCTGTATTGAGGTATTGAAAACAGTTTCCTGTTGTTTTTGGAACGGATGGCAAGGATTGAAACTTGATATTTTTTTTAATACTATGCCTGTAAAAATCACCAAAAAGAATATTATGGTTAGTGCTCCATGTTTTGATATCTTTTTCGTAACAAGTCTACAGCAGCATTTTGTGTGAGGGTAAATGCACTAAGTAATGACTGTAGCATAGAATCAATTGACCTAAAACAGCAATATCCTCAAGACGTAAGCCTTTCTAGTTCCCAGTTAACCTGTGACCAACATCAATTTTCTGCTAACAACTTTAGCAGATCATCAAGAATAGAGGTTATGAGAGTTACTTAATTCTTACTAAATTCTTAAAAGAAATGTATGGAGATAAGTCTGGAGAATTTGTATGTGCATCGCTCCTGGGGCTTAATGGGTTAACAGGTTAGAAGAAAGGAAGATGAGGGGTACGTTGGGAGTTTCCCAGACTCTTAAACCTTATTCTCACGTAATTTCACGAGTATTAAATTTCATGAAAAATCGTGAGCTGTATTTTGCGAGTATTTAATTTCGTGATTTTTAGAGGTTTATAGGGGTTTTTAGATTCTGTGAGTATTAAAATTTGCGATTTTTGCCAAATGACAAAAATCACGAAATTTAGTACTCTCAAAATTGAGTCAGAATAAAGTACCGATTTAGCCATTTCTTTTTTCAGATTCGCAACCCAGGGACTAACCTCTGCTTAGATTCTTTGGGAAGAAAAGCTGGAGGAGAAGTGGGACTAATGAATTGCCATGGAATGATGGGAAATCAGGTAAATTACACACAAAACTAGTCTGTCCACAGTCCTTTAATTTTCCTGTGAGATTGTTGAGGATGAGTGCTTTGGTTCCTTTGTGCTATCGGCAGCCATCTTGGATGGGTGTCAAATCTACTTGATCCTGACGACCTTACAAAAAATTAGGGGACTGTGAACAGTCTTACACAATCCCTGCTTTACAGGCATCCAATAAAATTAAAGGACACCTTATCCCTAAAATTCTCCTTGTTCCTGGGTGACGCCCTTACAATTTCTCTACAATGGACACTTTTTTCAGTTCTTTTTCATGACCCTTGTCTCTCCGCCTCTAACACAAGTTTAAGTGAAGTCACATCCACTCTATTTCATTTCAATTTATTGGCAGGCTTTTCAGTATACATTTCTAGATGAGTTTCGTCAAGATGAAGCTTGCTTGGATGTTAGTCAAAGCCACAGTGGAGCAAAAATAACGTTTTATGGCTGTCATGAAATGAGAGGAAATCAGGAATTTAAGTACACTTCGGTAAGGGACAATAGAACCTTGAGATGACATGCACTCACTCCTGATCTATAGACTGCTGTCCTTGGGACAAATTGTGTTATTATCTTTAATTTCAGAATGTCTGGTATTATTGCAATACTGCATTCTAAAAGCGTGGAGGAGTTGGGGTGATTTAAAGGGTGCAGGGAAGGGTTTGGCAAGAGTCCTTCTTTTCTCCTGCCCCAGGATTGTTATTTCTACTCTGCCCAATCTTCCTCAGTGATAAAGTCAAAGATGGTGGCCACAGCAATATGAAAACAAACAAGCAGCTTTGTTTGCCCAAAAAATACGCTTGCAATGCGGGCGAGATGTCTTCATAAAACAGTGCTATCATTTAACAAGTGCCTTGTCCTACCCCCTCCCACACCCTGCATACAGTGCTGAATCCCGGGAAACTATTGTGCTGACATGGGTCCAATGTTCTGTGGGGGGAGGGGAGAGTGATTGGACATGTGTGGTTTAAAATAAGAACCACACTCGCAGACTTTTGTTCATGATTGTAGGCTTCATGTAGGTTATCTACTAAATCCTCTATTAAGGTATGGGTCGGTTGAGTAGCTGTCAAGCCTACAACCTTTAACCCCTTAAGATCAAAATGTGAATTCTCATTTGTTGCCCCTATTCATTTCCTACAGAAGTAGTGGGGAGAAGTTGATAAAATATCAAGCAACTTCATCTTGTGTGATCATGTCTGTAATTCTCATGACCACTCTGTTTTACAAAGCATTGATATTCAAGGAGAAATTTGATGCTGATCACTCTTAGGGCTTAAAGAGTTTTAAAATATGTTTTTAACTTATTTTCTATTTACTTTTTTTCTACAGAAGAAGAAACTTGTTCATGTCATTACAAACAATTGCGTGACAGCCACCAATAGAGGATATCCAGTCATGGAACCATGTGTAGACAAGCCTGAACAAATATGGGAAATTACATTAAATGACCTCTCAAAAATAACAACTAAAAAAAAAGCTTAATTAATCAGATTTTATTTCCTTCACAATAAAATCAAATCCACTAGATCAAAGCTCAAGGCCTGTGTATCAATGCAAAGAAAGCTTTTTTAGCTGAAGGCTGATGTTACTGTAACTTATGTCTTGTAAAGCCCACTGTGAGGGAACTCACCTCACAACATTTACTTGACTCTCAGTTGTTTAAATAAAATGCAAAAAAGTTGAACAGTGTTTGATTCTACCTTGAATAACACTTGTTGAAGAGGAAATGTTGCAAGATAAGTCTATTTCAAGGGGTGTTACAAACAAAATTGTTAAACAGGTGATATATACAGCAATATACTGAATTAGGCAGTGTACTGAGCTTAACAGTTGCCTCTTCTGTTCTTATCTTCTTTTGAGGAAATACTTGGGATATACACTTTCACAGTCAGGCAAAATCCACTATGAATTTTCAGCCTAAGAAATAATAGCCTGTTTCCAGGCTTCGAGATAGTGGTGAAAAGTCGTTCAGTAAAAGAAATGCAAAAAACGTGCGGGGGCTGGGGAGAGACCGCCACCGCCCCCTTTTCTCAAGTTGCGCACGTCTTATTTTCGCTTCGGTAGTTTTAATACCTCCGCACTATACTATCTGAGTTGAATAACTGCTGGCCTCTTCTGCCATTTACACACTTAAAAATAAATATTATTTTGTGTTCTTCAGTTGGTTAGCACAATGGTTAAGAGTTGCATGTTGTTCTTATTTTCCCAAGAAGCAGCTATTTCAGTGTCTTCAGTATAAAAAGAAATTTTAGTACTCTCAAGCTACTTCCTAAACATAATTTTCACAGGTTTTTAAATTAAATTTTGTAACATTTTTCCTGTACATGAAATCATTGACTTTCTAAAAGTCCATTGGTAAAAAGTGTAGGAATTTAACCAAAAGCATGAGCAGAGCAAGTTTTCCTTGAGTCTGACTCCACTAAAATCGATGAATTAATAGGAGTAATAGTTCTGAAATTCTATGCTGTGTATTGTTTCTCTTGGTACTCTGTGACAAGTGGCCACCCTTACATATGACATTCTAGCATCTTAAGAGCGTCTCAAAGTCTTTAAATAATAATTTAATTAAAAAAATACAAAGAAAATTAATGCAATCAGATGAAAATCTGCTCATTTTTTGCATACTTAATTTCTCCTTCTAAAATCAGTTTGATTGAGAAGTAATATCAAGCATTCAACAGTGTTTCATCACTACATGAAACACCTTGAAGTTCGCCAAAAATACTCTGCTGTGTGTCATATTTTCAATTCTCTTCTCTGTGTTTCATCTGATGACGAAACACTGCATCTCATGCTTGATATATTACATCATCATGTGGTCGTTTGATCCAAAAAAATCCTGTTAGGAGACGTCGGTAATTGTATGGGTGATGCAACAAAAAATGGCAAACAGTTATAACAATGACTAATGAGCAGGCATGTAAGTTTTTCAGAAATTTCTTTCCCTTCATAAAAAACAGTTTTTGAGATGGAGTGGAAATTGTGAAGGCATGGCAGTTAAAAAATCTTTTTTTTTTCTACAACTTATACTCTGTCTATTAGTTCCATTTCTGGATACTTTCATTACAATGTACGAGCTAGATAGAATAAGAATATTATTTTGCTAAAGTATTCAAGAAAAAGAATATACAGTTAGGTATGTTTTTTGATGCTGTGGTATTAATTGTAAAAATAAACCAAGTCCTCTTACTAGTGTTACAAGAACAAAACTGACTACCATAGAATTTATAACACTGACAGAAACTTGCACCTCAGAATTTTTACACAAGGTCATAACTTTACAAACAAAACATTAACAAAGGCCTGGCTAAGATCATATTTGTAAAACATATTATCCCGACAGAGTTGAATTCAATATGTGCTATGAAACGGGCATTGATGTCACTTGCTGTTCAGCTAAAGCAAATCTTCTTTCACTGCAATAATAATAATAATAATTTGTTTGGCTTTTGTGGAAAGGAACTTTAAAGAGGAAGAGCTTTAATCTTAATTTTGTATTTTATCATTAAGTCTTTGGGTAAAATTCTTACCACCTGTATTTTAAAAGGATAAACTTTGACCCTCCCCACCCAGGACAATGGGTGACTGTCTGTGCCTCCCACTGAGCTCTGCAATTATCATGATAATCATTCTCAGCAGAGGTCTGACTCAGCTGGCTAAGGCAAATTACGAACAAGGTACCTGCCAGTCAAAGCCTGTACTGAACACTGAAGGGGTTGTGTCAAAACAGCCCCCTCCCTACCCCACTAGTTTTGACCCCCAGGCCTGATCCACCCACCCACTGTTAGGGCAATCCCTGGGCTATCCAGCTGTACCGACCAAGACAGCAATCCCCCTCCTTTTTTGGACACCGGACTGGCCTGGAGCCGGGCTGTGCCCAGTGCCAGGCGAAACCCTAATGGCCATGATTTAACGAAATCAGACAGATATATTTCCCCAAAAATATCATTAGAAATTCTGAAGGCCAAGGAGTCTCAACTTCTTACAAGTGCATGCGTGTGTATGTGTAGTCACTGATGGTTGTGGTGGGGACATAAAAATAATTCTATTTAAAGGTAGACATAATGTTTCAAATGAACATTTAAGCAACAGATCAAAAGGTATCGGATACGCTACCTGACGTGTAGAGCAGGAGAAACCCACTTTAGTGAGGACGGTTTTGCTGGATGAGTAAACAAACAGTTTGGTCTGGTGCAGCTAAGTCCAAACCGACAAGGCTGCAGACAGATAAAAATGTACAAATACTTAATCAACGCTGTTGTGATTTTAATTGCCCGTGACAATCCTAATCTCCAGGTGGTTATTACCCATGCATCACATGTATGTAGCCAGCATTTGTTTGGACTTCCACTAAGAATGAGTGGAATACACAGAACACAGTTTGATCACGTGTGTTTCGACCATTTACCCCTCGTAATCTGATCACACGTGTTTTGACCATCTGTCACGAGAAACCTACTTAAAACACTCACTGCATTGGAGCAAAAACGTTTGACCTTAGATCATTGTCGCCCCCACTCTGTAACATTTGGTTATTACTAGTTTCTATGAGAAAGAAGCATCTGTTAAAAGTTATAAAATAAAATTAGGCAGGTTTTCTACACAACTTTTCAGGGTGCCTCGATTACGCTGTAGGGTATATTGGTGAGGGTTTCAGCTCCTCGCAGTTATAACCATGCTGGCCTGGTTACCAGGAAAGGCAACCAGCACCTAGTCCTTCAGGTTGGGGCTTGGGTGTGGGGCTAACAATATATGGGGTGGATTACTACATGAAGCTGATGTCCTGGGAAAATGTGCCTGCCCATTCATTCCTTGAAAAATGCATCTTGTTACTTAAACTGTGTGTACATAACTACAAGAATGTTGCCAGCTCCCAGATGAAGCGGAAGTAAACTAAGTATCGACATTCACCAATACTCAAGATTCTCTTCACATTTGACTTGAACAGCTAAAAACCCAAAGTGACTTGGTAGCTATAAATTCTGCCAAGATAATTTGATTACATGTACTGATAGTAGATTTACCAATCACTGGTAAATCTATAGTAATTACTACTGTACCTTGGGTTGTGGATGATAAAAAGGACAGTCAGCTTTTGTACAGGATGGATAGAACTTGCAAGGAATGGGCTGGGTACTGGGTGATGGTGGCACAAGAACACTTGGTGATGGAAACATGAAACCTAGTGGGATTGAAGGAGAGTAAAGGAATAAAACATTTTGATTTTCATCAACAACATTAAGAACAACATTATGAAATAAATCAATGACTGCTTTGTTTGTAAAAGACATGACCTTGATTAGTCATCACTATAACGGAATCAGAATCAGACTTTATGGCTGTATGTTATGAGACTCCTTACTGGGAAAATGATCATTGTAACATCTTGCTGAAACAAGATGTCTTTTGCTGCAGGTAGTTTGCACAAATCATAATTATCATAGTTTTACGTAACATTGCTCCACATTAACTACACATCCCATTCTGAACTATTATTGTTAAGAAAAATTAAGAAAAGTAAAAGTCTTCAACTTTCATTCAAATACCTGTGACAGGAGCTGGTATAGGAGATGTCTGTTGTTTACTTTTTAACTTGTGTGTATATGGACAAACTGAATTAGTACACCTATAAATGCAAGATATACAGAAAAAAATGAAAATACAAAACTTAATAATATGTATACAAGAGCAAGATGAATAGTACATATGTAGTTTGCTTTTGGTGGATAAATAAACAAAGATAATTATTATGAATTATGAAGGTCTTGGAGGTCTTTTCTACCATGGATGAAACCCAAGGTTGATAACAGGCAGCTAACACTCCTATTATACTCAGACTCATCCAATAACATTACAGTTAAAACTTATTTAATGCTAGTTGTTGACTAGATACTTCCTTACCTCAGCCAACATTTTATCAGTGGAGTAATATTTAATATAACCCATAAAACTATGAGGTAAATGATACAGCTTTTACTGAAGTCTTCTTTGCCAAATAAATAAATGAGGACTGATAATTTAACAGGTTAGGTTCCCTCAAATGGGGAAAGATCCTTTACCTTCCATTAAATTTACATGGTGGATGAATAAATCTACAGCTGTCCCCAAATCTACAGTTGGGAAATGATCTGAAAAAAAAAAGAGACAAAAAATAATTATGTAACCTTTATTTGAACTCTAGTGAGTGAACAGAGTGCAGAAGAAGGCAAACTAAACCAAAAAATGACGCCACGGAATCTTCACTTTACATGGAAGAACCTTGTCTCAACAATGTTCTATTGTCAGATCACTAAAAAATCTGAAAAAAATAATTCATTTGACTTCACTCTAGACAGATCTACCACTGCACACTGACATGACTATCTAAATAATTTAATCAGATCTGTCAAAACATTTACAGTCTGTAGCTTTCCTCTGATTGTCATGAGTTTGATCCTTAGCAATAGCTACTCTAATAATTAAAAAGACAGAGATAAGAAAACAAGTCACAGGCAAAAAGATGGACAATAGTATCTCTTTCTTCTTTGATGCTACAGTCACCTACAAACCACTGTATTTTTCTTCTAACTGCAGCTAGAACACTGAAATCTGTTTAGAAATCACCTGCATGTTACTGTTGGATGATAAAAAGGACAGCTCTCTCCATTTTTGCACTCTGGCCAAAACTTGCACTTCTCTGCTTGTTTGTTTTTGTTTAAAGTAGTATCCTCATCACCCTCATCTTAAAAAATAGAAAAAATAAATTATTGCAATCACGCTCTTGTGAAAGGCCAATCTACTAATCATTTCTGACGACAGGTTACATACATCAAGCTCTAGTGACTGAGGTTGGAGGGAATAAATTCTAAAGGAGGGGAAATGCAGTACGTTTGTACAGTGCCATTTTGTTTCTGTTTTTCCTTTAAATTTACAATGAGAACTTTTGATTTTTTTGCTTTTATTTTTCTCTTGATTTTGATGCCCAAAGGAGTGAAAGAATTAGGTCCATAATAAACCCTCTTATTTATTTTGACTTACCATCATCTCCAGCATCAATATCAAAAGTAATCTGTTTTATAAATGGTTTTTCGGGGACAGTTGTCTCTGCCTGTGATGTAACTTGTTCTGTCACATCAGATGTGTCTATCTCCTCAAAATCATCAACTTCAGTCTTCTTTTTTGATCTCTTCTTCTTTTGCTTTTCCTTTTTCACCTGGTCATCATATTTGTCTTCCAAGTCGCTGTTGGCACCATCTAGTGTTACAATAAACTTAGGACTTGATGGTTTTTCCCTATGAAAAAACAAGCAAAATTTTAATACTGTATTCACACTAAGTTAAACTTCAACAAAAGATCAACACCTTTTTATGTAAAATCTCAAAAATAAAAACCTTGCAACATGCAAAGTACTGCTGCAAGGGTTTCTTTTGAATGACCACAACATTTCCTCTACAAACTCTTAAGACAGAATTACATCTGACCATAATTTTCTTTTAAAAATGCAAAAACAGTTAACACTGGTTAGAAATTTTATTCCTTTAAAACATTGTTGCCCAGTCTCTACAAGGAAACTCAGAGTTATTGGTCAATTTGCATTGTTGACATAGCTAATGAGTCAACTGTGAACATGTTAAAAAGCCAGGGTTCTCATTAAGTGTTGGCAGCTGGCTAAGAAAACCGGCTACTTGGAGGTTTGAGCCGTCTACTTTTTGAGGAAATACATGTAGGGTAAAGTGACAGAATGAAAGCCTGAAATTGCCTACAACATGCAGTTACCAAGCCACCCACATTTACATCATAGTGGTCTACTTTAAAGCTTATTGAGAACCCTGTTAAAGGAGTCAAGTATATACTTTTTGGACTTGACAGCTCGTCGTTTTTTCCTTCTTTTTCGTCTCTCTTCTTCAGAATCTTCCCCTCCAGCCTGGCTGTCCGCAAATGCAACAATTCTTGTATCACCTTGGACAGGCTCTGCACTGTAGTCCAGTGTGTCTGTCTCTGAGACATGAAGCTCAATAACTGGCTCCTAAAACCAAGACCAGGAAAATTTAACTCCAGATAATCTCTCACTGATTTTCACACATGCAGTTACTGTGCATTTTTAAGAATTTCAAGTCGCTGCAAAAAGTGGGAAATGAAATATTTCCAGCTTTTCAGATTTTGGTATATGTTATGCATCCTGCAAAGGTACAAAAATGTGACCCTTTTTTGTCTCAGTCTAGAGTGAACAACATTGTCTTTCTCCTAACCTTATCATTGCATAATCAGAAGAAAAGGTTAAGAGAATTTTTAAAATGATCATCAAAGGGAGAATGTTTTGATCGTTTATCAAGTTCTCTCAACTCATTCTTAATTCCTGGAAATCAGTAAAGAAAATTCACATGTGGATATTGGGCCATAAAATAGTTAATGGGTTGTGGAACAGTGGTGGAACAGTGGTAAACATCTCAAACTTTCCTGAAACCACTGCCTCACAGTCATAAAGTAACGAACTATCATCTCTCTTAATAGACTCTCTGTGAGATAAATAGCTCCCTAAAACAGTCACCTACAATTTGGTCCCAATCTGACATTTTTCAGAACAGCAATCTCTATCAGGCAGTTAGTTTTCCAAAACGGAAACTTGCTCCTGTGTGTCTACAGAGTTTGCTGTAAGCAATAAGAATAAACTTGCCTCTGGTTCCTGTGTAGTTTCCACTTGTTTATGTTCTTCCTCTGCCACTTGCTCCTCATTTCCTTCATTATAATCCTGGCCTTCCTCTTCCACTGCCGTAGATTCCTCTTCTACTTCTCTGCTGCTTTCTTCTTCAACATTTTCTTCATCTTCTACACTCTCGTCTACTTGCTTCATTTGTAAGAACTGCTTTTGTAGCTCTCTATGTTGCTGTAACAATAGCTCTTTTTGTTGCTGCTTCTCCTCATAGCTGTGAGATCTGATTGGTGATGGGGGAGAAGTAGGGTCGTATTTCAGACTGGATGAGAGTGCCGGTTTTTTAACAGAGTGGTGTGCAGCTGCAACGGCTTTCATGAGGAGATTGCCTGAAGCCTGCTTTGCAGGTGGAAGTGTTGGTCTGCAAAGAGAAAACATAATTAAACTCATAAATATTCCATGAAGAGAAATCAAATGAAATCATTACTGTCACATCGATTTCTGATACTAATATTAATGTCGAAACACAAAATTTTGCAAACACTGAAAGCAATTTGCAAACATGGGGTATATCAATCACTTGACAAAAGGTTTCATCAAATATCCAGACGCTAAGAAGTGGGTTGAAAAAACAAGGAACAGCAGCCTTTTCTTCAGACAAACTTCAAGATGTCTGGACATTGAATGAAACACTGGGTAAAGTGCTAGACATATTAAAAACATTCAAGGTAATTCCACAATGTCTAATTTGGGAGCCTGCAGATGTATGTCTTATGCATCCTTTCCTTCATTAACCCTTTAAGTCTTTAGAGTGACCAACATCAATTTTCTCTTGACAAAATTAATCCATCATCAAAAGAAAAGGTTGCAAGAATTAATAAAACTATGATTACCAAAGGAAAATTATCCCTCATGTCCCCCGTGCACCTCAGCAAACAACAAACCAGTGAATCTGTTCGGGCATCTTTAATGAAGGAACCGAGACCCCAAGGACTCGAGAAGCCCCCAGGGTGGGAGGGAGGGAATGAAAACAGCAAATCGAAGGACTGAGCAAGACAAATGATCAGATTACAAAATGTCAGTTAACACCCAGCCGGTGAAATAGCGTGGGGTCCTGGGGCTAATTAAGTTATTCCCTAGGAATATTGACAAAGCTAAGATTTTTCATCATATTGTCTCCACTAATTCTTTAGGGAAATGAATGTACATAGATTAGCCTGGAGAATTTGTTTATGGATATTGGGGCTTAAGGGGTTAACTGTTACACTAACTTAATAATAATATTACAGTGGTGAGAAGTAAGTTTTTATTGACCTCAAATCTTTTTGCTGTTAGTCAAACTAGAAATCTTATACCTCAGAAATGCTTGGAATGAGTCAACAATAAATATGTGGGATGGGAAACTTACTTTCTTTCTTTGACTTTCACAACACTGGGAAGATTGGATGTTCTAGAATTCTTGTCATCAGAGGATGAGTGCTTTCGCTTTCTTGTTGAGCCTCTTGATGACAAGCCAACAGTTTTTACAACATTACTGCCCATTTTTGGCTCTGGGAGACAAAACAGATCCATTCATGTAAATACGAAAATGACAAACACACAAAATCACAGGGATCAAAAACTAATGTCACAGTCAACTGTCACTTAACAGACACCTAGAAATGGCCAGTGCCTCTCTTCACTCACTGTATTGTAGATTTTACTCACTTAACCCTTTAAGCCCCAATAGTGACCACCACTAATTTTCTCCTAATAAAATATATACAGAATCAAGAGAAAAGGTTATGAGAATTCATGAAATGATCACCAAAAGGAAAATGCTTTGATTTTTTACGAATTCTCTCAACTGATTTTTTAGGAATTTTATGGAGATCAGTTTGGAGAATTGTTTTTTGATATTGGGACTTAAAGGTTAGTGACCATCCTGAAGGTGTCTGCCTTAGAGAGACAGAATTGACTGTATTTAAAAAGAAAATTACAAACAAGTAATTGTCCAATGGTGATTCAATCATAGGCATCCTTTTTAACAATCACAGGTTCAATTTCCACTTTTTACTGTTGGAAGATAATATCTTGCAGTGACAAGAAAATTGATGTTTTTGGGTAACAAGTCAATTACATGTAAATACATGTAAGTACATACTTTCTACTTTTTCATGCTTGCTTTTTAAATGTTCCCTTGCATCAGTTCTGTTAGGGCTTCGTCTTCTCTCTTTTGGAGATAGTTTTAATGGAGCATCTTTCCTTTCCTTGCCTTTGACTAAATCTGTTTTTACTGTTTGAGAAATGTTTCCTTCGCCCAATAAATTTGACTCTTCTGTATTTTCTAAAATGAAATAGAATAATTATAATCATTTTCAGGAATGACACAGCTTGAATAGTTTGTACAAGAACCTACAAAATTAAAAAACTGAAAAAAGTAGAGCTGTTGATGTATGTTCCACAAGGAGTAAAGTTCCTTGGTACACGGACACAGTGAACTGGCAAAATTGCTTCACAAGTTATCACAAAACAATATTTTATTTCAATGAACCAGTCACCGTTTAGTCAAATATTATGTCACACTTTTTGTTAGAGAAGCTGCATAGTAGAAGAGTGGCCGATTTGTACTATTGACATGGTTTCATAAGTACTGAATTTGGTTACCTTGTAAACTTGTGACATCTTGAAGCTTCTGTATAATATTTACAAGCCTAAAGGTCAAAATAAATTTGAGCAACATTATATTATTTATTTACTCTTTTATCTATCAAAACAACAATACTGCTGCTTTCAAAAAAAACAAAAACATGAAACTGGAAAATCTTCATCACAATATCAGTGCTTTAACTGGCAGTTCTAAAAGGTATTGGAGGCAAATCTGACCGAATTAAATTTTAAAAAGCACATATTGCAAGAGACATACATGTTTCTCAGATCACACACTTTGTACATATGTACTATACTACTACTAGAACTTATGTTTCTCTCTTTTGTCAAAAATAAATTTAGTCTCTCCAATTACATCATGGCCATTCTTGTAAATAAAACAGTTGCCAGAGAATTTACTCACCATTCAGTGAATAATGATGTATTTGTACCCAGAAATAAAACCAAGTCCTCTGTCATCTGTTCTTTGCTTCTTTTGTTGGCCAGCATAACCATGATATAGTCAGGAAGTTCATCATCTTTTATTAAAATAATATAGTCCAGTCAGTAGGCCATAAGGGACAGTGAATGAAACAGCAGTAGTCAAAGAAAACCCTTAGAGGATTTTTTTATAAGTCCAGTAAACATACAGATACAGAGAGCCACGGAGGAAACTTATCCGAAACCCTAAAACATTCTTACACCCATTGACTGATTGCAGATGATGATGACACAAGATATTGAGAGGTTATACTATGACTAAAAAGTATGCTGGTTAGTTAATGGCTCTTACATCAATAAAAGACATACAGTCGACTCCTATTGTGACCAATTTTGAAATTTCTTCAACAACCACAACCACTTTTTAAACCAAAAATTTTACATAATTTTTTTTGTTTTCTGTTTCCTGAAAGCAACCACCGTGCAAGATCACGTATGATCGTAAGAAAACCATTGCTTGAATGTCTCAAAAGTTCAGTTTTTAATACACGATTACAGCAGTTGACTAAACAAAAAAGGCTGTAATATGATCTATAGGATTCAACGTATGATACAAATTACCCAATACATCTAACTGCCAATCACCCAACTTAACTGGGCCTTCTTTTCCATTATAAGAACTGCTTACCAACGTATGATCCTAGCTCTCTTAGCTTTGTCTTGATAGCACCCTGTTGATTCAAAAAAAAGTTGTTACTTTACATGTGTTCTTGGTATTCAAGACCTGGGTACAGTTGTTTGAAGAGTTAATAATGCTATCCAATGGATAATGCAATAATTGGTTTTTCTCATACTTATCCACTGAAGTGTGCTATCCAGTGTTTCAACAACTAGGGCCTGACTAATTTCACTTTCAAACAGAAATACAATTTACTGCTTTCTGGTTACAAAAAAATGGGGTAATTTTGTCACAATGACTATGTTAACTGATTGAACCTTGAATAACAATGGACAAAAACATCAGATTTTATACTACAAAATTACTTCAAATTAATAGTTTTCATCAGTTATCAGTCTCAGCACTCTTGTCCAAACTGGAGTGAAAGTGTTGAAAAAACGTAGTCAAGGTAACTTGAATTTAAGCTGTATCCCCGAGTCGCAAACTCCTCAGAGAGACACAGTTTGTGTCCCACAGAAAGGGTTGGAATTCAGGCTAGTAGTGAACTTGCCCTCAGCAAATTTATATGTAACAAGTTGTGAACGAAAACCAGTTGTTTACGACATGAGACAACGACAAGGAGTCAGGTTGATAAGAAACCTTGTGTTTCTAAAATGACCACGTCATTGTGATATGTTCTTATGTTCTGTCAAACATCCAGTAAAAGACAAGTCATTGTGTATTTATACTGTTGATTAATTCTAAAAATATGAAGTAAAAATTATTAAGTAAAATCAAAGTCAGTCTGTCATCCGCAGGTCAGAAAGTCAATTAAATTTAGTCGCTTTTTTTCAAACAAGTACCGACAAATTTATCGATGCACTTGATTCACAACAGAAAACAGTCATTTCCTTTGACATTTGTTGTTATGAGAAGCGCTTAAGACAAACAGCTGAGGATTTTTCTGTTTTATTTGACAAGTGACACATTTCTAGCACACAATTAAATGCCAACAGACCATAGTGAAGAAGTAAAACTTATTTGAAGTCAAAATAATCCAAAATTCCAATGACCTTAAGTCTTAATTCGTTGAGCACACTTACCCTTATCTTCTGGCTGATTTCGTTACCAATTTCCATGTCAAAATCCACTTAAAATTAACAACATTTGCCTCGCAAATCGTAAAGAACCGAGTTCTTCGAGCAAGTTGTTGTACAACGCGAGGTCACATGGCTACTTTTTGGCGGTAAACAGCTGGATGAAAAGATCGCGGATTCGATTACAGGTCGTGACACTTGATCGATTTTGTCGGAAATGTTCGGATTACGAACTTAGCGGACACCACTAAAATAGACAACATTTAGTGTGGGTCGTTATGGCGGTTTGTAGACGCACCGTACTACAGGTCAATACGTCGTTTTACTTTCCTTTAAAAACCACTATCCAGATTTAAGCGTTACTGATTTGCAACTTCAGCCCCCGAGCTTTATACGTGTTGTTTACTTGATGCGAGGTAAGCTGATTTGAAAATGTTTAAGCGTTTGTTTTACAAGAAACGCCGAAGAATCGACATCTCAGTCCCACAAAACTTCGAGCATCGATTTCACACTGGTTATGACAAGGAAACAGGGATATTTCATGGTCTTCCTCCTCAGTGGGAAGCTTTACTTGGAATAAAACGAGACAATCCAAAGAGACCCAAACCCATCGTGGATCCAGAAATTATTACTCAAGTCTCGCCGCTACGAAAATCCCAGTGGAATTTGCTTAATGAAAAAGGATCTGGTAGTAAAGTCATTTCCGTCTCAAGATCCAATTCTCTTCGAAATTCCTTTAGAGTTAATCCTGGCTCTAGACCTAGAAAGATTGAAAGGACAAATTCAGAAATTGCCGAAGAAGTCGATTCGGCGACAGCTAACGGAAAGGTTCCTAGAGTGGGTTACCAGCGAAGATTCTCTCAAGGTCACGAACGCCAGTACTCCGATAGAAGCTATGATCACCAACAAAAGATACCTGTTATACGGAGAGAAACTTCTGCTAGCTCGGATTATGGATCGGCGAGTACAGATTCTGGAGAAAATGCCGAGAACGGAGGAGACGATCTTCGCAGTTCCTCGAAGACAAAACTCATGTACTCCGATTCGCCTGTCACTCACCAACAATTTCGCAAAGCTCTAGAATTAGTTGTCACGTCGACTGAGCCCCCAGACAATCTGGACAATTTTATTAAAATTGGTGAAGGTTCGACTGGGGTCGTTTGTCTAGCTCGAGACAGAAAAACAGGCAAACAAGTTGCTGTAAAGAAAATGGATTTGAAGAAACAGCAAAGGAGGGAACTTTTGTTCAATGAGGTAAGGGGTTAATATTGAGACGGACAATGACGTTGATATTTTGACGTTGCTTTGACATTCTTGAGGTCTGTCAGCGTGCTTTCAGCACGTTAGATAGAAACTTTATTAATAAGTTTTATTCTTTATGTCTCAAATTACATTTGATCGCAATAAAATCAAAGTGAATCTCGTAAGTTTTTTCTAACAACAGAAAAACTTGTTTAGATTGACAACAATGACTTATCACACTTTGGAATCTAACGGATATCTTAATTGTTTGAAACTTGTAACTGAGTATCCCTTATTTTTATAATTCAATATTTTTAATTTTCACTTCATTCCACAACATAGACATGATCCTTTTTTCCCATTTTGTGCCAAAAAGGCTTGAATGTGTGCATATCTCATAAATGATTGTCATAAATTGTTATTTCATATGTAAACATATCTTTGTTACTAACCATCTTTACTTTGAATTGTTTATGATAAATGTTTATAAAGAAAATGGCTTTAGATTTTGTGATAGCTTCTTAATTTTTAATCAGCTGGTATTTGTAGGTGAATCAATCTATTTATTGTGTACTAGAATGTCATCATTTGGGATTTTTTAGGTGGTTATAATGAGAGATTACCCTCATCCCAACATAGTAGAAATGTATGGCAGTTATCTCGTTGGAGATGAACTTTGGGTTGTCATGGAATTCCTTGAAGGAGGATCATTAACAGATATAATCACCCACACAAGGTGAGAGATCTTTTTTTACAGGTTGATCTCTAGGGTGAGGTTGGGATCCTGCCTAGCAAATGTGGCAGGTGTCTTGTCAGGGGAGGGAAGGGGAAGGGAAAAGGAAGGGGGATGAGGAAAGAGGGTATTTGCCCTATTCTTTCCATCCCCTTCTTTGTGTCTGCCACGCAGGCTAGAACCTGCTTTAAGGCCAACTCATTTATTTGGCTACACTGACATTATCAGGGTTGTCACTAAGGTTTCAAGTTCCTGTGTTAATACAACAAGTAGGCAGGTAATCAAACAGCTTGGTTCTATTTTTCTTCTATTTTCCTATGAAAGTAGCTGGGGGCCACGTTCGTACTAGCTAGAAGAAATCCCCAGCCCCCACCTCTTAATAACAACCCTGTTTTTAGTATCGCCACTTTGATTTCAATGTCCTGGTAACATGGCAAGATGTTCTCTTTCAAGAGAGTTGGTTAGCAGATTGTTGTGGAGCTTAAAATATAGGTGACCTCCCTAACATAAAAAATTGAATTTTTGCTCATTTAAGTCAACAGTAATTGCTACTCGATCATTCCAAAAGTCTGAGATGAGGAAATAAAAGTAAAAACTCTCTCACTTTCTGTGATTTACCTTGGACCATTTCATTTGATCAGGGATGTCTATGATTTGGTGATTCCATCATTCTGCAAAATATGGAATGGCCAAAACACAGTAAAATCCCTGATCAACTGGGATTTTTCCACAATTTGAAAACCTGGCTAAGCAAAAGGGTGTCTCAGTGTTATAGCAAGGTGACTGCTAGGAAAAAGTTAACTGACAAGTTGTCTTGTTTGTTTTTACAGTCTGACAGAGGAGCAGGTTTCCTGTGTATGTCGTGCAGTTCTGAAAGCCCTGGCATTCCTTCATCCCCAGGGAGTAATTCACAGAGATATCAAGAGCGACAGTATTCTTCTTACCACTACTGGGCAGGTAATGTAAACACTGAAGTATTACATGAGCAATATAGAAGATTAATGATCTACATGGGAGATTTTCTGTTCTTCTCATCATCATCATTATCGTCATGTAGAACATATTTATTTTTTCTTTAATTAATAGCTAATTTACACTTAGGTTTAATCATATTTAGCCACTATCATCACCTCTTAGCCACCCATATTGGCAAAATGATCCTTACTCTGAAAGACAATTATTTTGATTCCTGATTTGTGCAGGGTGGCAAAGGGTGTTAAACAAGCTGAAATGAGTGTGATTTCATGGAATGGTCTAGCTACATGCACACAGCAAAACAATGAAGAGGAAAATCTGGTCTTTCTCTGTACCCCCTACTTCTGGATAAAATTTTTTTGGTTTTCATCTTTTTTAATGTAAAATGTTTCTGTTAGTTCTGGAAATGTCAAGAATGGAACAGTAGACATCAAAGCATTTGCCTGTTTTATTTTAATCTTCCAGGTGAAGTTGTCAGATTTTGGATTTTGTGCTCAAGTGACAGAGGAGATGCCAAGAAGGAAGTCACTTGTTGGTACACCATATTGGATGGCACCAGAAGTTATATCAAGAAAACCTTATGGTACTGAGGTAAGAAGAAACCTTTCAACCTAACGTGTACTCCCTTCTTCAACCCTGACTGTTCAATGTTCTTTTAGCTTTGCCAGACTTTGCAGGTGAGTGTTATCTTTCCCCATACAACCCATGAAAGGTTCACAACTGTATTAGGGTGTGTACCCGCGGTTTTTTTTAGATCATGGGTGAGATGAGGTAAATTGAAACATAATCAACATTGTTACCATATCCTTCTCCATTCCTTGTTGCCTTCTGTATTTTTATTCATGTTTCTTTCTTAATGCCTTTGTATTACTTTATGTGCCATCTTTTACCTCTTGGGTTGCAAGGGTGGCGCAGTGTTGAGAGAACTCGCCTCCTACCAGTGTCGCCCAGGTTCCAACCCCATGTTGTGGCCATGTATATGTGAGTTTGTCGTTGGTTCTCTCCCTTGCTTTGAGACATTTTCTCTGGGTACTCTGATTTTTTCCTCTCCCTAAAAACTAACTTTTCCAAATTCCAATTTGATTTGGAATGCACAGACATGTTTAAATGAGTTCTTAAGAACACGTAAGTGCTTTGTGGGTAGACAAATTACTTCAGCGTGCAAAGAAAGTAGTGTCCGATAGCCCGGGGCTAGTGGATTTTGCTATCGGGCTAGTGAATTCTGTTATTAACTTGCCCGACGGGCAAGTGAAGTTTTTTGAGCAATTCAAGTTACAGAAGTACCTTGAAATCAATCTGCTCATCAAAACATTTTTGGGGCTAGTTGAAATGATGTTTGGGGTAGTAAATGTTAGCTTTAGCTTGCCCGAATGGCAAGCTGTAAAAATGACTTTCTTTGCACCCTGTACTTTAATTTTTTTCATCACCTGTATTACTTTTGAATAGAGGAAAATAAAATACAAGACGCTGCGAAAGTCATTGTCAATAAATTAATACTGTAGTTTTGTTACAAATGATAGGCTGATATTTGGTCTCTTGGAATCATGATCCTTGAAATGATGGATGGAGAGCCACCTTATTTTAGTGAGCCCCCGTTACAAGCCATGAGAAAACTACGAGATATGGATCCACCAATCACAAGAACAAATGAAGAGGTGAGTGCACCAGGATCATCCTTTGAATTTAAGGCTTGGTGATTTTGAAAGAAGAAGTATGAAAATAGAGTTGGATTGACCCACACGAGTTTTCTCTTAACAATATCCATACATTGTCAAGAGAAAATGTTATGAGAATAAATAACATGACCATCAAAGAGAAAATGTTTTGGTCTTTTATCAAATTCTCTCAACTAGCTCTTTAAGGAAACCTATGAATATCAGTATGGAGAATTTGTATGTGGATATTGGGGCTTAATGGGGTGAGAACAGTTTGTTGGGTTGGTTATCACGGGAACATGCTCTGCAAGGGTACAGATTTTGTCGGGTGCATGTTCACTTATGTGATCAACTTATTCAATTGGCTTTTGCTTTGAGAAATAAATTAATGAAAAATTTGCCCTTCTGACAAAGCAGACAACATTTAAATTTCCAAAAGAGGAACTTAGAGATTCCTACATTTTGTTCTTCTTCACAGATGTCTCCTCGACTGTTGTCATTTTTACAAAGAACCCTTGTACGTGATCCAGCGCAGAGAACTTCAGCATTTGAACTCCTGAATCATGCCTTCATACTCAGTACAACTAATTCTTCATCACTTGCGGATATGATGAAAAGCTTTCGACACAGTGTTTGTTAGTCATGGCACTGCAGACATTGGATCCAATGAACAATACAAACATTGAAAGCATACGTGAATGTACATAGAAGCATTGGGATTACTGTTTGAACTTGTATCGCAAGTAAGCTTGCAAATACAATGAACTAATAAAATTGCTCAGCTCAGAGCAATGCCATGAAGATGGAATAATGGTCGAGGATTGTTGGGATTTCATACATGCAGTCATGGCTCTTTCGTACAAGCCTTTTATCAAGAAGCCACAAGTTGGCAGCTTGTTATATGTTTCTCTGCTCATCAAACGGCTTTGAAATAATTTTAAAACACGAGATGTCCCTGCTTTTTAATGTTAATGAACTTTTCAATAGAACTGGAAACAGTAATAATGAAAAATGTAAGTACCAGTGTGTAGTATTATGGACAATGTTAGGGTTGGGCAATAACATGTAAAAAGAATGTTTTACAACCAATAGACTGTTTTTACATGTGTAAGGAGATGTCTGTGTTGTAGTTAATTTTTCATCTCAGGTAATTTTTGTTTTTCTTTTGTTTTTGGGTGTGGTAGTGTATGGTACTGAAGTTAAAAGAGAAGAAAAATAAAAAAATTACCTGATATAAAAAATTAACTATAACATCTGCATTAAACTTTTATTGCCACTTTAGAGATAAGAAGGAAACCGGCTGGAGTTAGCTTTAACGGCCAAAATCTGACCAGCGCATCCCCAGTAACGATCCAAGAAATCCTTGTGAAAGCTAACTCAGCTCAGTTTCCTTTTTTGCTACTAAAGTGGTGAATGGCCAGCCTTTTTATCTTTGTAATTTATGTATTCTAGTCCTGGAGGAGACTATTTTCATACAGAAAGGAGTGCTCAGGCCATGAATACAAGACTATGAAAGCCTTTATACCAGATACTGGCCTTCTGGTAGAGTGTATTGTAAAAAATATTAGGAAATGATGTGTGATTTCCAGGAGGGTCACACTATGTCTGTGTCCGAACAATATTTAGTTACAAATTTGGCTGTGCAAAGAAAGTTGTTTCTGATAGCCTGAGGCTAGTGGATTTTGCGACTGGGCAAGTGAATTCTGTTCTTAACTTGCCCAATATGCAAGTCAAGTTTTTTTAGGGGAATTAAAAAAAAAAAACAGACATACTGTGTGACAAAGTGGTTAAATTCATAATAAATTCATGTGAATTGAAAGCTGGTTTCCAAGCTGATGCGATGAAGTGAAATTATTGCAATATTATTATTACAATGATTTTAATAAAGCAATTAATTAATAATTGTTAATATTAATTAGTTATTAATCCTACTCTTCAAAAATTTTTCTGGATAGTTAAAATTACTCCAGCTAGAATATTCTACCTACAGCTCGCGCAAAGTGCAAGCTTTCACACTGGCTTTCTTTGCACCCTACATTGTGACAAAAATTAAGGTTTTTTTAGAGCAGATTTCTAAAACACTTAACTCTCATTAGATTCATTACAATGCCACAAGTTTCAGAGGCTCTGCACAACATTTCCGTAACTAAGTATCTGTAAATTAGCGTCATAGTTTATTATTTTGTCGGGATCAAATTGTGCATTAGTTTACCATGGATTTTGCAAACAGATGTGATAATCAAGTTAACGTTGCTTATGTTAACAATGGATTGAACTGCAATTCAAATCCAATTTAACAAAATAAAATATCTAAATGTGATCATTGCTTGTAGGTTTGCTTTTCAAAGTGCTACACAAATGTACATAAAATCAGATTCCCAAACCATAAAGGCATTGACAGTTTGCCCTATGTACATGTTGAACAGTCAACAAGCAGTGTAGGAGCTGCTTGGAAGTTCTCTCCCTTTTATTGCATGTTGCAGGAAACAATGACAGGTCATTCTTCCACTTGTTTTAGTATTTTTTGGGGTCAGGGAAACACACCATTGGTGACTTCTCTTCCGAGCAGCTGCTACATGTACCTGACCCCAGTCAACCCATTAATATAGACCGTAAGGGGGCATAGAAAGTGTCCATATTAATGGGGTGTCCATGTTAGATGGGTAGCGTTTGTACAGAAAATGTAAGGGGGACAAAGCAAACTGTCTGTAATAATGAGGTGTCAGTATTATGCGTGCGTCTGTACAGAGGGGATTGACTGTATAACGCTATCCATCAGATAAATTACTATCCAGCAGATAAGCAATAGGGAAACCGATTGCGTTTGGATAGTTTTATTCATCTTTTAAACAGTTGGGGCCCAGTTAATAGCTCATGAAGATAAGGCAGAGGCACCCGAGAATTGCCATAAATTTGTACCAACTTTTACTTCATATTTCTGTTAGAATTATCAATCGTTTTGAGAGGCAGTGTCGAAAACTCAGAGTGTTCATCTTTTATTCAAGTTATCCAACCTGGATTAAAGAACTCCTTGTTTTAACAACTCATTTTTAAGGGTACCGGATGAAGCTCTTCCTCTTTGATATTACTTTTTATGACGTCACATAATATTGACGCAGTTCGTGAAGTGGTTCTTAGAGGGTTAACCTTTAAATCTGTACATAGAACTTTATTTTGAAATGGGTCTTTTATTTTCATACAATAAACGTCGTCTAATGTTTTTGTCGTTTTTTGGATGCTGTAATTCTTTATTGTTCCCAGGTGTGGGTTGGGTCTTGAGCTAGCCAGTTGCGCGATGGAGAAGCTCACACTTCATCACGATCCTTTTTTCCACTAGACTACAAGCAGTGTCTCCTTTTCTACAGATTTAGGGCCTGTTTACATGGAGGTGGGGGACCCCAGGTAGGTGAGGTAACCTGCTTAGGTGGGGTAACCCACCTGTCCATACAATCTCTCATATTAATTGATCGCGTTTACACGACAGGTGGGGTGACCATATGAGACATTATACGGACAGGCGGGTTACCCCCACCTAAACGGGTTACCTCACCTACCTAAGTGAGGGGAGTGCACGCGCGCGTGGTTATTTTCGTGTCTCGCGCGATTCGATCGACGGACAAAGAAAAAAGAGCAATTGCTCGTAGTTTTTTTTTTCCCACAAGACTGGAGGCGATCGATTAAACGCAGCTGATTAGTTCTTTTTTAACAGCCAAGGCTGTTCATCTAACTGCAAGAATCATATCCACTTTCATATCTTTATCCTCAGTTCACATATGATTTTATTTCGTATATTCTACATCATAGCTTTAAATAACCAATAAATTCTCCACAGCTTCAATCAATACTTGAAAGTAAAACACACTGTAAACGGTAGCAAAATAAAACTGCTTTTGACACCGCCTCGTTTAAGGTAACGATTTAGGTTTTTTCCTCGCATCCAAACTAATCAGGGTGCAAAGAAAATCATTTTTACAGCTTGCCATTCGGGCAAGCTGAAGCTAGCACTTACTAGCCCAGACGTCATTTCAACCAGCCCCCAAAACGTTTTGTTCTTCTGTTCTTCAAATTCCTCATAAAACATCACTTGCCCGTCGGGCAAGTAAAAACAGAATTCACTAGCCCGATAGCAAAATCCACTAGCCCCGGGCTATCGGACAGTACTTTCTTTGCACGCTGAAACTTAGAACGACAATACCAATCAAGGAGATCTTGACGGTGAAAATATACTAAAAACCGGCCGCGTGTAGTCTGGCAAAATACTGTTATTGTATTTTGGGCTGGTTAATAGCAATTTACGCTAAGTAGGTTCTTAAGCAGGTTCGGATTTCCTATGAAGGAGATATAGCTGTTGACTATCAGAAACATAAATAAACTTGGTATTGGTCCTCAAATATACAGCCACCATCCGTCTCCTTCTTTGGTTCTTTTGGGGAGAAACGGACAGATAACGGCTGCACTGGAAACTATCACAATCCAGGTACACATCGACTCTATTGGGGGCGGCAAGCCCGCAACATAAGAGGCCGACTTTTTCTGCAGGAACTGCGGGATGAATGCCAACTATATGTTATCGTCTGGTTACCTAAATGACTGTCATGCCGCTGTACTGAAAATCATGACTCTTAAAAAGATAGGTCCACAAGTTCCCGATGTTCTATTTTCATCTTCGCGATCTGCCTCGCCCTCGAACACCTCGCCCCCGACCACCTCGCCTGGCGCTTCTGTCCATGTAACCGCTGAATATTGCATTAAGTGGAAGGCGCGGACAAGGGTTGATCAAAAGCTGCCGGCAGTTTTCAAGAAGAACGTTTCGTCTAAGAGCAATGACAACTGCCAGGAGGTCTGGAAATTTCTGGTTGGCTAATTCAAGATTATTGTCTTGTAAATCTCTCTGCAAAGGAAAAGCAAAAAAAGGTGTAAAAGGGATGTTAAATGTTTCCGAAAAATTTCTTTTCTTGCGTGACTTTTATAACACTACTGGACCCGAGTTGTTTTGCAGTCTTCATACCTGGCGCGTAAAAGTCATATGGCCGCAAGAAAGAACGGGGCGCGCGAGGAAGATATTCGATTTTTCTTGTGCCCAAATTACTTTTAAACGCCTGCACGCAGCTGCCTCGTACGTAAGCGCTTTTTGGGATGTTCGACGGTAGTCGCGGCGCAAGGATCATGGAAAAGCTTCAAAAACGCAAAGGCACAGAACATCCCAAGAAGCGCCTGGGTACGAGGCAGTGCACGCAGGCTAGGTTGTTTATTGGTTGTTTAAAGGACGATTAGCGGAAATCCAGTTTTAGTTACCATGGCTACTCATATGTTTCGTTCTGTATTAAAACCGGGTTTTGATCAACTCGGTCCTCTTCGTGATTCTATTACCATTCTTTCACTGAGTGGGGAATGGTTATGAAAGAGCTACATATGTACCGGGAAGTACAGGACAGGGAGACATGATTTGACTCATGATAATCGCAATACGCGCTGTCAATAGGCTGAACTTCATGGAAACAGATTTTGAGGCGTATAAATGTGGCTTAAAGATGGTACCAAGTGCGGACAAACTGGCTCCTGGCGCGGGAAAACGTTGGTCTTAACATGACTTCCGATTGGTTGACGATATGACGCAACATTCTCCCGCCATTCACAAGTGCCTCTGTTACCACCGCGGTCAAACGTCTAAATCGTTATATTTGTTTTTTATTGCTGGGATTTCATTTACCAGTTAGAGAAAAATGGGCAAAGATGTATAAATCAGTTAGTCAACATAGCTATCTTTCCATTTTTCTCAAAATTTTGAGCTTTTTTCGCTGAAAACGCTTCGCGCTAAAAGAAAATCATGTTTGAAAATGGCGCCGCAGGGGCGGATCTAGGGGGAGGGTGCAGGGGGTGCGCACCCCCCCCCCCCCGAGATGACCTGCGGTTTTCTAATACAACTGGTATTCTGCCAAAAAAAAAACTATGTGGCTTATTGGTGTTGAAGTAGAGCAAGAGACGAGTGCACCCCCTCCTAAAAAAAATCCTGGATCCGCCCCTGCGCCGATAATAACGTCAGCATCGGTTTTCAATCACTTAGAACTTTTTTAGTAAACTTTTAAAAAGTTTAGTAAACTAACAGGATGTTGGTAATACCTTAAAATTTCGATAGTGAAAGTAGCAACCTTAACTTTGAAGTATTTCGCTTAACTTTTGCAAATTTCACTCGTTTGACCGCTGTGAAGCCTCTGTTCAAGTGCTCGCAAGTGCCATTTATTAATGGAAAAGAAAACAGATCGCCATTTTCTCAAGTAATAAAGCACGACTAACCTCCATTTGAATCTGAACAACACCATCATTGCTTGTTTTGACGGCCAACACGAACACACCCTCATGAGCTCTGGAGGAGCTAATGCGGACAAGGAAACTGCCAGGCGATTGATCTATAAGGAGTTCTTCGGCCTTGGTCTCGTCCATGTGGCCTGCGAACCAACTGAAAACAAGAACGATTTGATCTCCCGAAGGGCACCCACACAAGAAATAAGACACATATTATGAATTTACCTAAACAGTGTCTCTCAACAACTGATGCTCGTGGACTAGTTCCTTGCACGTGTTTGTTCGAACTTTGGAACCGCTAATGCTTCATTTATTTTACTGAATTTAGCTTATTTATTTCAACCACTACACTTCAGATTTTACGATGTAATGAAAGCCAACGTAGGTCAGTTTTATACCTCATTCCATTTAATTTGATTGCGGAATCAGCAGTCAATCGAACGAGCTTTACGAAATTTGACCAGTTTCAGAAAAAAAAAAAGGCATGCTGCCCTCGTTATTGCTCGCAAGCAATGATCAGTGGATATAACAAATGAAAAACAGGAGCGGATACTTTATCTCACCTTTCTCTTGTCCCTTCACGTACTGAAGTAGAGTTCTTCATCAAGTCATGCATCTTTCAAAATAACAATTGAAAAAATAGGTTATACGAAAATAACGCAAATTTTTGTACTTAGTATAAGGAAATGTTAAGTACTGAATGTTTTTTCCTTTAAGATGAGAAATACAAAAATTAGTTGAGGACAAAGTAATGGAAATTTCAATTTTAGCTGTGAACTGTAGGACCTTCAGATTTAATAGGCCGTGCGCAGACGGTCCTTTTGGCTCGTCACGCAATAATCCTCCCCAACGAGGGGCAGGAACGCGTGACGAACCCATGGAAGGCCCAAGGCCCGTCAAGGCCCGTCCCTCTGCATGACGCAACTGGGATCTGGAAACGACTTTGCATGCCGAGGGAAGCGCGGGAAATTACAAACGTTGAAGGTTGCCGTCGGCCGACGTCCATTTTGTTAATTAACTTCATACTTGAGGATTGTTACACATTGGGCCTCGTTAAAAAAACAATCGACAAGACGCCTTTTAGAATACGTTTTTCAGGCCAACGTCAAGACTAATAAAATAGTTTGCGACTCAAAAACAAGGCGAGTTCAAGAGGACACTGACATATCCTTGTCAGAACTCGAGGTAACGTAAAACCTTAACCTTTTTTTAAACTCCAGGCCCAGTTGTTCGAACGCCGATTAGCGCTTAGCCCAGGGATAAATTTAACCCGGCCTTCTTTTTCTTTGTTCAAAACGATTTTCTCGGATAATTTTCTCTGTTATTCTTAAGAGTATCCAATCATTAACCTGTTGACGGAAAGAATAAAACAGAATTTACTTTTTAAGCTTTCAAATCTGAATTCAAATTTCGCACTAACCTTGGGTTATCTTAACCCAGCTTTGAACAACCCGGCCCAGAGTTAGAAATTCGTTGATGCCAGGCTTTTGAGTAAGCTAAGGGACCTTACTTAGCCGAAAACCTTTGTACACAGCTTCGAACAAAACTTAAGCTTGCACTTTTAAAGCACGCCCAGTGTGTTGTCTGTTTTGGGTGGGGGCCGGGGGGTTGGGGAGATTGCCCATTCTTAGAGGGTCAGGGTTTCAATTTGTCATCAACACCCCTTTTTCTTTTTTATCTTAGGTCATGCACTGTGAATATGGATACTGTGTTAGTCAAAACGAGTATAATTCCCAACAGAAAAAAAATATGTTGTGCAGAGTTCTTGACTCTCATTCACTTTTCTAACTTTCTGACTAAAAATAAACCACCACATCGGCTTATTAGCCAATTTACAAAAGGTTGCAAGGTACATTATTATGTGTTTCTATATCAAGGTATATGTTGTGGTTTAATTTTATCCTTGGTTTAATTTTTATTTCCCATTGTTTTAAACTCATTATCATACATGACCATACCCCAAAACAAAGGGAAATCAAATTTAAACCAAGGATAAAATTGAACCACAACATACATATATATTAATGGATCACCTTCTGAAGACATCCATCAGGCCCTGGCTTGAATGGTCCAAAGAGAGCCACCAGTGTGAGAAAGTTCTCCAGTCTAACATGGCTGTCAGCAGCTTGTGCTTGAGAATGCAAATTAAAACAAGATGACAAGTATGGTAAGGTGAGTATTTTAATAATATTATGTATCATCAGCTGAATGCCTATTCTCCCACGAAGCTGTCTTTTTCTTGTCACGTAATGCTCTTCTCCAAGAAACAGCTACTCACATTCAAACCCCATCTCTTTCCCAATAGTTCCTTTATATTTCTTGGAAGTTACATTTTCTTCCCATACTATGAAAGTTGTTTACAAAATAATGATAATTACCATATTCGATGTGTAACACTTTACAGAGGAATTTCTCAACATTTCCCTGCTGCATCTCTTGTTGACAACAATTTCTGGCAGCCTGTGAAAAATTTGCCCAACTCTGAAAAAAGAGAATCACTTTGTACTTCAGTCCCTACAACACTCTATGTCATAGTCAAACTTGACTGTCCTATTTTGGTTTCAATATGGACTTTGCAGTAATCAGCAAGAAATGCCATTCTGAAGTAAGCAAATTTCTCCACGTAATTTATACAATATAAACTTAAACTTAAATAACACTCCCTAAAGAGGGCTTTTCAGCAACAATAATAATGAATTATTAATTTACGAGATAGTATATCAAAATGATAGTAAATCTAAATATTACAACGATACGATGGTTTATATAAAAAGAGAAAGAAAGCCAAAAAAACGTTGCTAGAGTTACAAAATAAAAACTTTTCATAAAAAATGAATGGGGAAGTTTGTGAGGCAAAATTAAAACAGACCCTAAGATTATAAGCTAAGACCGACAAGAAAAAGAAGTGGCGAATAAATTGGCCCTAAGTTTAAAAATGCTTAACATTAAGGACAGAGTTGCAGAGTATAAAGGAATTAAAACAGAGAGGTAGCTGCCAGGGAATAATATTAATGAAATGATCATCCAAACTCAAAATTATTGCAATATTAATATTTACTACATCACAACGTTTCCCACAAATTCAATACGAAATACATGAAAGAGGAAAATATAGAAATCTCCATTTGTATTTCAGCTTGAATCTCATTAACCCTTTGAGCCCCAAGATCCAAATACAAATTCTCCCAACCAATCTCCATACATTTCTTTTAAGAATAGTTGAGAGAATTTGGTTTAAGATCAAAGTATTCTCCCTTTGGTCATCAATTTAGTAATTCTCATAACCTTTACTCTTGTTGATCTGCTGATGTTGTTAGGAGAAAATTGATGTTGGACACTCTTGGGACCTAAAGGGTTAAATGAGATAAGCAAAAGTACCTTTCTGTCATAGTCGCCAGGAATGTTCAGCCAGAACTTTTCAGACTCGTCTGACAAAAAGTTTTCACCTTAAGAGATATTAAAGAAAGTTAAGAAAAAACAAAACAATAACAAACCAAAAATATTGATGAGATACTGTGAGCACAAATGAAAGAATTTTATTTTTGGGCACCTGTAAACTGTCTATAAGGCCATTAACAAAACCTGGATCAGACCAGAATGAATCAGTCCATGTCCTCTTATTAATAATTAATACCTAATGTATGAAGCTTCTGACATTTAGTGGGTTACAGGACTGGGTTTGATGCCTACTTGATCTACTAAGAGCAATGACACCATAATAAGCAGGTAGGACTACTAATCCCCTGTACTAACCATCACAAGTCTTGAGGAAGTACAAAATGCTTCAAATGGGAAATATTTTTTCTGGCAATTTTTTTAAAGAAATGATTATTGCATTACACTCAAACTTCTACGATTTTTATTAAGCACAAAAGAAGTCTGAAGGAGAGTAAGGTAAAGGAGAAAACATCTGCAGAGTAAAACTGCTTTTTAAGACTAGTATAGTTAGTACAGTTTATAAATAGCCCAGTTGTGAGCCCTGTACTAAGTTAGGGATGTAAAAAGTCTGATTATTAATTAAGTCCTAGGCTATATTTTGCACATCTGTCTTTGAAAACATAGAGACACAATAATCAACACCTAATTATTAAAAAAAAAACACCTACCAGTTTCTTCTGATTCTGATGGCCCCAGTTTCGACTTGGAAATATCACTGTCCATCTCAGAACTACGAGCAATATATCAGTAAACAGTTATGATCAACTGAGTTATCTTTAACAACAGTCAATTTCGTCCAACAGAAGACATCTCTCTACAATGGACACCTACAGGGCTTATGGTACTTTGCGAAACGAAACGAAAGGAAACGGTACTTTGCGAAATGGTACTTTGCGAAACGGTACTTTGCGAAATGGTACTTTGCGAAACGGTACTTTGCGAAATGGTACTTTGCGAAATGGTACTTTGCGAAACGGTACTTTGCGAAACGGATGCATAAGTGCCAATGCGCCTAAATTTTTCGCGTTGGCGAGCAAATCCTGAAAATTAGCAGCCTAGAATGCTTCATCACACCTTATCTCTAGTACCTAGAATGCTACTGAAAGCTTAAGATTTGTTTCCAAAGAGCAATGTATTAACAGACGCCATCTTGGATTTAGTGACTTGGAACGTGGTGTATGAACTATTTTAGTGTCGTCTTTGTAACACGTGTTAATTTTGCGGGCGCATCTTTCACACGCAGACATGTAAAAAGAGCGTTTCAGAGCGTTTTTCTTGTAAATTTATTTTTTAATTACTATGAGTACCATATATGAATTACAATCAAAGCAAATCAAACAAAAACATTAACAGTAACAATGACAACAAATGGAACAATGACAAATTTAGTAAAACCGTAACAATTCTTCTTTCTGTGGCCCATAGACGCTTTTTTGTTTGTTTAAAGACAAATTGGCACATAGATTGCATGTTTTAATTTGCTTCAGTTATGTTGGATAAGTTAGAACCAAAACTTAACTGTATGTTTTTCGAAATTTGGATTTGGTTTTCTGTAACAAACCTTTGTGCAAAATTTAGGCCAATAAATGTGAACAATTTCATTTTAAATTGCTGACTTGTGTTTCTTAGCCTTTTAAACATTAGTTCGCTTTTAGTTCACAGGGTGTAACATTCCGTGTAGTGCTGAACCATTGCTTCTGCTAATTGTAAAAGTACCGTTTCGCAAAGTACCATTTCGCAAAGTACCGTTTCGCAAAGTACCGTTTCGCAAAGTACCATTTCGTTTCGTTTCGTTTCGTTTCGCAAAGTACTATAAGCCCACCTACAGTCTGCACTTGCTACTCTCACTCAGTTTCTTTGACTCTCTTTACAGAGGGCACCCCTTTTGCTGGGTGCAGAATGAGTTCACTAATATATTATGAAAAGTATTCTGTCATTTTCTGTCATATGAAACTTCTTCCTACTGGAGGGGCTGGGTATCAGAGACAATGAAATACAGTAATCCTCTGTAAAGTGGACCCCAAATTAAGCACACAAGAGTCAATAAGTCCCAAACCTTTCTCCCAAGAGATTCATACTTCTTGTAAAATGTATATTTCAGCAGACACCAGTCTATTAAACAGACAATTGCAAGGGTCCTTTGGGTGTTTGCTCAGTACAGGTTTCAGATTATTGCAGTGCTTAAACTAGGGTAGTGCTCTCTTTTTCTAAATACGTCCAGTTCGTTAACACATCAAAGAAAAGCCCAATGAATAGAATTTGAGTTTTTAACTGTGCTGCCTCTAAATGCATAACCATCTTAGTTTATTTTGCTTATACCTGTGTGGTAACTGTAGATCTTAGTATTCAAGGCTTATGGTAATTCCAAAACAAAATTGGGGTAACGATGTTGTTTCTAAAAGAAATTACCGCAAATCCTCTGTTAAGCCCCACGGAGGGTTTCGCAACTGAACCAAAGATCAAAACCAATCTAAACTTCTAGCTTCTGAATTAACAATACCAGATCAGTCCATCTTTTATTAATTTGGTAGTGAAGAATAAGGAGGCAGGGGTGGGGAACTGAATATGGGGGCTTATTAGAGAGGGTGGCTTAATAGAGGATTTGCGTTAACCCTTAATTTTGCAACTTATTGGCAGGTATTATTTTTAAGCTTTCGATATTATGTTTCTTTAGTCTGTACTATAAAGCATTTTAAGTACAAAGTCACCTAGCATTTCCAGAGTCCTGCAGTGGCCATGACAGACTACTATCAAATGAGCTGTCACCAGCAATGCTTTCCTGTGTTGGATGTCTTGGCCCTAACAGTCTGGCATTCTTGCCAAAAAACTTTAACATGTCATCTATTACATCTGTTCTTCTCACATCCACAAGAATCTCTAGAAGCTTCTGTGATGTGGTTTCAGTGCATTCTCTAAGCATTTCAACTGTTGGGTTTGGTTTTTGCTCCAAACGTTGAATTATCCAAGTAAGCTGGAGCCGTGAAGCAATAATCCTCCAGTCATAACCACTCTCCTTTAGAGGGTTCAAGCATTTTCCAAACTCATTCTGTACTTCCCAGGTGAAATCTTTCACTAATACAGGAAGGTGAAGAAGCTACACAAAAAGCATTAAACAAATAAATATTTCTTATATTTATCAGGGTGGTATGACCGTTTATCAAAGGACTATCTCAACTTAGTCTAACTTAGTCTTAACCCTTTAAGCCCTAAGAGTGATCAGCATCAAATTTCTCCTTGTAATATCAATGCTTTGTAAAACAGTGCAGTCATGAGAATTAGGGACATCAACACACAAGACGAATTTGCTGGATATTTCATCAACTTCTCCCCACTACTTCTGTAGGAAATGAATAGGGGCAACAAATGAGAATTCAAATTTTGTTCTTAGGGACTAAAGGGTTAAACTAATCTAACTAGTCTAATCTAACTAGTCTAACTTAGTCTAACTTAGTCTAACTTAGTCTAACCAGACATTGACTGCATAATAAAACTTTAACTGAATGCTTTTTAATCCCAAACAATGCCAAATGACCTGCATAATGACCAAATAATAAAACTCTGTTTGAAATGCTTTCTAATCTGTAATGTCAAGCATACTTTGCAACATAACTGTGATATTGAATTCATGGTTTCCGGATGTTTTAAAACATGGCAGTTGAAGTACAAGCCAGTTCCAAACAAATACACAGAATGAAAATAAACATGAATGGATTCCAAGAAACTTTTTAGAATTATACCACAAACCTTATTAACCTTCAGCTATAATGATGAACAAACTAAATCTGACCCATATTGTACTGTTTATCAACACTCACCAATAAATCAACATTTGATGCACAGCCATCAGAAGAAGCAGATGATCCATCGCCCCATCTGACATACAAGTTGAAAAAATTAAAGTAAAACTCAAGAACTCAAAGAAAAAACAAGGAGTTAAACCAGTTTGACCCATTTTTAAACCTCATTCATAAATCATTATAACTATTTACACTTAATGCTCTGCCCAAAACTGTCATAAGAGTCATAACCCATCACACCTGCCACGGTTTAGCTCACTTGATGTTACGGGTCATCAAAGTGGCAAGCTTAAGGTGACACTATAAATTTATCTTATGTCTGTTTTCATCAAACAAGTGTGAAAGATTCCTTGAGTAGCCAAATCATCATTGATTGCCGTACAGCAATTTTTGCCGCTCCCCAGAAATTGCAGAGAACCATGGAAAAATTTCCAGAATACAACGAAAAATCCTTGATAAATTTTTTTTACCTTGTTGATCTGTCATCTGCCATTCTGAAGTTACCACAATACACCTGAACACTACTCTGAAACAGTGCTTGGCTTCAAACCCTGACCCTGTTGAGGACAATTTAACTGTTTAAGTCCCAAGAGTGACTAACATCAATTTTCTCTTGACAATATCAGTATATGATCTCGTAGAAAGGTAATGAGAATTAACAAAATTATCACTTAAGGAAATGTGAGTTGATCTTTTAACAAAATCTCTTAAGCATTCTTTCAAGAAATGTGTGGAGGCCAGTGTGAATAATATTATTTGAAGGTTGATCTTGGGGCTTAAAGGTGAAAATCTTTCATTTTGCTGTCCTGTTTAAGACAAGAGACCTTATCTCATGACCCTGAATCATTTGTTTTGCATATGTAATTACGGTAGGTAATTTTTAAACTGACATCGTGGAGTTTTTTGGAAAAATTGTTGGTAGCACATAAACAGACTGCTCATGGCCAATCTTTACACTTGTCTGCTCCAAAAAGATACCCTGTTCAAGGAGCTAAACAGTGAAAATGTATACAAATTTATAAGGCCCTAAAAACCATACCCTGTCCAACGGCACATACCCATATAGGCCAAAAAAGGAAGTGTCCCCCCCCCCCCGGCAGTGTGGAAACTCAATACATTAATGGCCGTCATTCTTGATTTTTATCTTTATGACAAAATTAGGGGCTCACCGGAATGACTCATTCTAGAATGAGGCCATTCAATTTCCATGTATTTCTCTGTATTTGTTTACATGATAACGGAACAACATTTCGTTCCTGTTTAAGCCATTCCAATTTTCATTCTGAATGAAGATATTCTGGTACAAAATTTCATTCTGATAGCAGGTAAACTGAAAATGATCTTCATTCCAGATTGAAAATCGCAATGGTTATGCGGTTGGGGGACAAATAAGGTGCATTATGGGAAATGTGGAAGTGGCGTATTTCGCGCCATCTTTAAGTGTTTTAATCATTCAAAATGAAGAATAAGATCTGCATGCGTGAGGTAGCTTTGTTGTCACCACAAAGTATCCCCAAAGGACTTCGTTGTCTTCATTGTTCGTTTTACAATACAAGTAACAATTCGCTATAGTCAAAAGGTTGGAACTACGTTCACCAAAACAACATCATTTCTCTCTGCGCATTTCTTTTATGAACAGTTGCAATCGTATAGTAAAACCCTCGTGATAAGATCCTGAGTCCAGAAGGCCAACGATCGCGCGTTTCATTTCACAGTTCTAACAATAATTATTGCTACATAATATTAAAATGCACAATTTCACTCACCAAACGTAGATATCTTTTAAACAGTCTAACTTGCAGAGTACGTGCATCAGTCTTCCCCTCTTCTTCCTCCTTTTCACACGTCATATCTTACATCCAGTTTGATTGGTCAAGTCCCTTGGCCTAATATGGAGACAACTGCACCACAAAAACCAATGAAAAACGCTGTACTATTCAACGGCATTTTCCGGGAATCCCCTAACAGACTTCGGCCATCTTGGTTTACGACTTCAGAACTGAGTACCTGCAAGTGGCAACGAAGTACCAGCGCAGTAGACGAAATACAGTGATCGATCTTAAACAATCATGACTCATTTGGCTGATAAATTTGCAAGTTTATCGTTAAAGGAAATAAACAAAATCCAGGAACAAGTCTGTTCTGCAATCAGCGCTCTTAACAGTGGAAAAGACCTGTTATCAATAAAGAAGAATGTTCAATGCATCTTGGAGCAAGTCAACAAGAAGCTAGATTTGATCAAGGCTTCATGCAAGGAAAAAGGTACTAATCGACACTTGGCAGGAAACGGATTTTATACACTGTCTGCTGGTTGGATCATGCCCGGGGGGGTACTCCTGGGAATTCTTGGCGAGGGTGCAGTGATGCCAACTCTCCCGCTTTTGGCGGGAGACTTACGCTTTTCTGTCTCGTCTCCCGCTCTCCCGCTTTGGTTCATAAATGTCCCGCTTTTTACGTCCACTATAAATATTGAATACTTAGTAAAAAATAAAACAGACTTAGTTTGAGATTTAGCCCATTTTTAGCTCAAAACTTTAATTTTTCTTATTCGCAGTACGGTTTCTGGGGCATTTTTGCTCGTATTTAGTCATTGACAAAGATTATACGATGATTTCGAATTTTGATAGTACGGTACATCATGTAAGACGTCATATAATGTCCTAAGTCATTCCCATTGGGGGCTGGTCAATTTTTCGGGGGCGGGGGGGTCGTTGGAATTCCTGGGGGTAGTGAAAAAAAGACAGTCTCCTGATTTTAGGTCTCCAGAGGTTGGCATCTCTGAGGGTGTGCTGCCCGGTTCTCCAAATCCTGACACTATTTCAGGCAAAAAAATGCCACTTTTCACCCCCTTATTTAGACCTGGTCTTTGAGAAATTATGTCATTATTACTTAAATTAGAACAACAACAAAAACGATTTCTTAAAATCCATTTTGAATTTGCATATTTCTCTTTCTTTGTTACTCATTTGGAATTGAAACGATAAATACATTCATACACTCCTGTAGTTCCCTCGAAAACCATACCAGATTCCAGACCAAAATAGGCAAAGTGTATACCCATTTTCAGACCAAAATGGCACAAAAACCCTAACATAAGGGAGTACCCCTCATGGGATCATGGAAGTTTCTCCCACCATTTTTATACAACAGGGTTAGGGGGGGAGTGTAAGCCCAGGGTCAGCCCATCAGGTTTAAGTGGCTTTAAATTACATGTAAATCATACATTCATATCACAACAATCTGTAGTGTTTCATTCATTTATTAGTCATTATTTTGCTGCAATATATCATGCTCTAAAAAGGTATTCAGAGATTGAACTTGTGATAGTCAGGTAAATTCCTTGTCCTTTCCAGAGGAGAGGGGATGAGGGCTTTGTCTTTGTCGAAATTTTAAAAAAGGGGGATAGGGATGCATTGTAAAGAAACTATTCCAGTTCTGCAATTTCTCAGTTAACATTTCGTGTATCAAACACCTATACATCGCCATTCACAATTAAGTGATCCACATTCAACATTTTAAGACTAACTGACCTGGCAAATCATGAAGGCAAGGTGGTCTACTCTGTAAGAGCGGTTGGAAGGTCGGTGGTTAGGTTACCTGGTCCCTGGTCTCTCCACCCATCGTCACCATCATGTTGCTTACATTAAAAAAGAAACTTAAGGTGACTCCGTCATTAATACTGGAGCATTTAGCTGTGACAAATTTTCCATCATAACTTTTTTGGTTTTAAAGCGATGGCTGCAAAACCATTGCAAAGAACAAGAGGAGTTATTCGGTAATACAATATGAAATATTCAGATTTCATTGATGCTAAATATTTCTTGAGAAATTCGCGCTTAAAAGGACTCTACTGTTCAAAGAAAATCGCGTCTAGTAAAAAATTTTGCTGATATTTTTACTGAATTTTGTGCTATCGGTTTTTATTGATATAATAAATATGCCAGCGAGATTTCAGAAAAATCTTTGGAGCAGAAGTCCGTAACTAAAAGTCACTCAAAATTCAGCTGTGAAATTGTTTTGGAATTTCAAACGTTAATTACTATCACGTAGAAGGAGCCACCAGTTCAAATTTTTGGGACAAGTAAATTCAATGTTTGGTAATTCTGAAAACAAAAACCAATTGCCTATTGTGCTATTCTTTAAACGGTACTTTTTAGTTTAAGAAGCAGTATAAATTGCTCCAAACCTTGTTCTGACGTCAAATGCTTTGTTTCTCAACATTTTTATAGTATCCCTTAGCAGTTTTCGCTCAAACTCCAGGTACATACATTTTGATGTATTGCAATGTATCCTAGACAGCTTTTCCTGCTGCACATTGCTTCCAATTCATGAAAAAGACGTCTGATATTTGTTCTCTGATGTCTAATGTCAGACGTCTCATATGAGACGTCTGCTGTCATATAATTTTTTTATCAGACGTCTGATTTTATGTTATGTTATATAACTGTTATCAGACGTCTGATGTCTAACATTAGACATCTGATACCAGTTATATGACAGCACATGTCTGGTGTCAAACTTCTGACATCAGACATCTGATAACAGTTAAATGACAGCAGATGTCTGATGTCAGATGTCTGATAACAGACGTCTGCTGTCATAGAGTTGTTATCAGACATCTGATGTCTAACATCAGATGTCTGATAACAGTTGTATGATGTCAGACCCCTGATAACAGTTATATGACAGAAGATGTCAGATGTCTGCTGTCATATAACTGTCAGACGTCTGATGTTATCTGTTATGTTATAAAACTGTTATCAGATGTCTTATGTCTAATATCAGACGTCTGATAACAGTTATATGATGTCAGACATCTAAAGTCAGACATCTGATTTGAGACGTCTGCTGTCATGTAATTGTTTTCAGACGTCTGAAGTCATTTGTCTTTTATTAGACATCTGATATCAGACAAATAACATCAGATGCCTGATGACAGTCGTTTGACATCAGACGTCTGCTGTCATATAACTGTTATCAGACGTCTGATTTTATATATTATGTTATATAACTGTCATCAGACATCTGATGTCTAATATCAGACGTCTGATAACAGTTATATAATGTCAGACGTGTGATAACAGTTATATGACAGCAGACATCTGATGTCAGACGTTTGCCGTCATATAACTGTTATCAGACGTCTGATGTTATATGTTATGTTATAACTGTTATCAGACGTCTGATGTCTAATATCAGACGTCTGATAACAGTTATATTATGTCAGATGTCTGATAACAGTTATATGACAGCAGAAGTCTGCTGTCATATATTTGTTATCACACGTCTGATGTCTGATTTTATGTTATTTTATATAATTGTCATCAGACGTCTGATGTCTAATATCAGATGTCTGATAACAGTTATACGATGTCAGACATTTGAGAACAGTTATATAACAGCAGATGTCAGCTGTCATATAACTGTTACCAAACATCTGATGTTATATGTTATGTTATATAACTGTTATCAGACGTCTGATGTCTAATATCAGACGTCTTATAACAGTTATATGATGTCAGACGTCTAAAGTCAGACATCTGATATGAGACTTCTGCTGTCATATAATTTTTATCAGACGTCTGATGTCATTTGTCTCATATCAGACATCTGATGTAAGACGTCTGATATGAAACCAGACATCTGATAACAGTTACATGACAGCAGACATCTTATGTCAGATGTCTGATATCACACGTTTGCTGTCATATAACTGTTACCAGAAGTCTGATGTCTGATTTTATGTTATGTTATATAACTGTTATCAGACATCTGATGTCTAATATCAGAAGTGTGATAACAGTTATATGATGTCAGACGTCTGATAACAGTTATATGTCAGGAGTTGTCTGATATCAGACAAATAACATGAGACGTCTGATAACAGTTATGACAGCACACGTCTGATGTCAAACGTCTGACAAGAGTTATATGACAGCACACGTCTGATGTCAAACCTTCTGACATCAGATGTCTGATGTTTGATATCAGACGTCTGATATGACATCAGACATCTTATAACAGTTACATGACAGCAGACGTCTGATGTCAGATGTCTGCTGTCATATAACTGGTATCAGACGTCTGATGTCTGATTTTATATGTTATGTTGTATAACTGTCATCAGATGTCTGATGTCTAATATCAGACGTCTGGTAACAGTTATATGACAGCAGACGTCTGATAACAGTTATATGACAGCAGACGTCTGATAACAGTTGTATGACAGCAGATGTCTGATGTCAGCTGTCATATAACTGTTATCAGACATCTGATGTTTTATGTTATGTTATAACTGTTATCAGTTATATGATGGCAGATGTCTGATAACAGTTATATGACAGCAGACGTCTGATGTCAGATGTCTACTGTCATATAACTGGTATCAGATGTCTGCTGTCTGATTTTATATGTTATGTTATATAACTGTCATCAGACATCTGATGTCTAATATCAGACGTCTGGTAACAGTGATATGACAGCAGACGTCTTATATGAAATCAGACATCTGATAACAGTTACATGACGGCAGATGTCTTATGTCAGATGTCTGATATCACACATCTGATGTCTTATTTTATATGTTATGTTATATAACTGTCATCAGACGTCTGATAACAGTTATATGTCAGCAGACGTCTGATAACAGTTATATGACAGCACACGTCTGATGTCAGATGTCTGCTGCCATATAACTGTTATCAGACATCTGATGTTATATATTATCTTATATAACTGTTATCAGACGTCTGATGTCTAATATCTGATGTCTGATAACAGTTATATAATGTCAGATGTCTAAAGTTAGACGTCTGATATGAGATGTCTGCCGTCATATAATTGTTATCAGACGTCTGATGTCAGACATTTGACATCAGACATCTGCTGTCATATAACATACTGTTGTCACACATCTGATGTCTTATTTTATATGTTCTGTTATATAACTGTCATAAGACATCTGATGTCTAATATCAGATGTCTGATAACTGTTATATGACAGCAGACGTCTGCTGTCACACAACTGTTATCAGACGTCTGATGTCATAGGTCTGATACCAGACGACTGATGCGTAATGTCAGACGTCTGATGTTTGTCGCCTGATGTCAGACCTCTGACATCAGATGTCTCATGTCTGATACCAGATGTCTGATGTGTAATATGAGACGTCTTATATTTGTTGCCTGACATCAGACGTCTGATGTCGTATGTGTAATATCAGATGTCTAATGTCATGTCTAATATCAGACGTCTGATTTGTAATGTCAGACATCTGATGTTTTTCGCCTGATGTCACACATCAGACGTCTGATGTCATATGTCTGATACCAGACGTCTGATGTGTAATCTCAGATGTCTGATGTCATATGTCTGATATGAGATGTCTGATGTCATATGTCTGATACCAGACATCTGATGGGTAATGTCAGACATCTGATGTTTGTTGCCTGATGTCAGACGTCTGACATCAGACATCTCATGTCATATGTCTGATATCAGATGTCTGATTTGTAATGTCAGGCGTCTGATGTCATACGTCTAATATCAGACATCTGATGATTAATGTCAGACGTCTGATGTTTGTTGCCTGATGTCAGACATCTGACATCAGATGTCTGATGTCATATTTCTGACATCAGACGTCGAAAGTCAGATGTCTTATGAGACGTCTGCTGTCATATAATTTTTATCAGTCGTATGATGTCATTTGTCCTATATTAGACGTCTGATATAAAATCAAACATCTAATAACAGTTACATGACAGCAGACGTCTGATGTCACATGTCTGATGTCATATGCCTGATACCAGACGTCTGACATGTAATGTCAGTCATCTGATGTTTGTTGCCTGATGTCAGATGTCTGATGTCATATGTCTGATACCAGACGTCTGATTTGTAATGTCAGACGTGTGATGTTTATTGTGTGATGTCAGACATCTGATGTCATATGTCTGATACCAGAAGTCTGATGTGTAATGTCAGACATCTGACATCAGACGTCTGATGTCATATGTCAGATGACTAATGTTGTTTGTCTGAAGTCAGACGTCTGGTGTCAGATATCTGATGTCAGACATCGGATGTCATTTTTATACAAGAGTTTTGAGCGGCACAAAAATTGAAATTTCTAGAGTAGGGGATTTTGTTAGGTCTTACTACTATACCAACCCTTAGGTTCTTTTTTTTTAATTTTGATTATATCCTCTTTCAACCTTTTCTGCCACTCACACTTCCGAGTTTCACTCCTATAGGACTTGAACTTGGAGGAAGGGTACTCTCTTATATAAACTATATAGGCATGCCTGTTCCCACCTATTTAGGACTTGAATCTGGGATGTCCAGTATCCTATAACCACTCAATCATGTTGGTCAAATATTGCAGCATCATCATGGTTGAGGAGTACAGGGAGAGTGAGTCAGAAGGAATTAGCATCATGGGAGCGACTTGGAGAGGGAAGGTTCTCAAGTGTTTACAAAGCAAAACTCAAAGGCAGTGATGTAGCTGTCAAGGTTCTGAAAAATCTCAAGGAAACCAAGCCACTGCTTACAGAGGGAAATCTCCTAAGGTATTTCTACTCATGATTCTCAGAAGTTACTCAATTTCTCAGCTACAGAAAATGGAAAATATTGTTTTGGTTTTGCGATCAGGCATTTGTGGATTTTATCACATGGGGAAGATTAAATTAACCTGTTATCAAGTATTTCAGGGCATTGAAATTCTGTTAATTATTAATATTGTGGTATCTGTAGTGCACTACTCTACACAGAGCAGGCTGGAAGTGTTGGAAAATACCATAATACTAACAGAAAAATATTAGAAATACACTCTAAGTTGAAAGAAGTGTAGTTGTCTGTATAGTGCTGAAATTATGAGTCATTTCATCTGAAAGTAGCCCTGAACATCAGCATGATAATTATGCATTTTTTACATAATAATTATTGCCCCAGTTTAGTATAAAGCTTCATGTTTTCTAACTAATTGTCCTAATTAGTATTTTTCTTTGTATTTCAACAGGGATCTTCATCATGACAACATTGTTGCTTTTAGAGGAATGAATATTTTGCAAAGTGATATTGTACATGAGAAATTTACCCTAAAAGCAGGAACTCCCTTCCTAGTAATGGAATACATCCCTAAGAATCTGTACAGATTTGTGGAAGATCACAAAACTCCTGAATCTCAGGGACTTCCCAGAAGTCAGGTGTGGACTATTGGCAAAGGAATGGCTAATGGTTTGACGTACCTGCATAGTTTGAATCCACCCATAAGCCACAGAGACTTGAAGCCTGATAATATTCTGGTAAGTCTCTCTCTTTTTAAGACTTTGTTGTTATTTCTCTTCTTGAGTAAAGACTGTGTGATTGTCTATTAGATCCACTGAATTCTGAGACTTTCTGTGGCTATTTTTGATTGTTATTGATGAGACAATGCTCTTAGAGATGAAAGTGGCAAACGCTTCCCGGGAGGCACTCCCCTATAAAAGTGATGGGAGCCCCGCCTTCCCGGGGAATGCTTTACCATTCTGATCAAGTTTGACAATGTAAGTTTTGCAATGATGGCAAAAGAATGTGCCAAAAAGTGCGCTCCACATTTATTAAGTAAGGGGTATCCAACAATGAATGAATCCTTTTTTCAAATTTTCTTGAATGAATGAATGCCTCCATGGTGTGATTTGTGTATGTTAGAGAAGGAAATGAATCCAGGGATGTGGTATATTATTTTTATAAGCCATGTGGTTAAATGAGTTATAATTTGAGTTTTGTTCATTTGATTGCATTATTAGCTGGATGTCAGGAGTTTGAGGGTTAAATTGGCAGACTTTGGTTTGTCACGGACAGTAGAAAGAACTGGAAATGATCTTTCTTTATTCCATGCACGCTGGACTGCTCCTGAGGTTTGGGAAGATTACCGGTACTTTGGTGAAGAACCTGTAGAAGGTAAATAAATTAGGTCTGTGAAAACACAGATTGTCAATGAACTTATTTACATTTCATTAAAATTATATAAAGGTGTCCCTGAATTGTTTTGTTTTGTAAAATTATACTGATGATATCAAACACAGACCACAATTTTTGGGGAACACTGTTTATTGACTAGCAAATCAGACTTGAGATCAATAAATGAAACTACTGGGGGTGGAGTGGTTGGGAAAATGTTGACAAGCTCCAACCTTGCTGAAAGGGCCTAAGTGATCTGGAAGACGATTTGCTGAGGCAGCTACTATATGGACAGCTAAGGAGCGTGTTCTCATTTGGTAATTACCCTTCATCACCTTGGGTGATTTTGGTTCTCTGAATTGTAATAATAGCTGTGCATCAATCACTACATCAATCAGTCAATAAAAATATTTCTATTTAAAATACTTTCAGCTGAGAATGACTATGTTGGAGTTGGATTTAATATTTTATTCTAAATTACTATTTCACCTCCAGAAAATGAGGCTCTTGAATTTTTCCTGCGTGCTGACATCTACTCTTATGGACAAGTGGTAGCTTACACTTTAACAGGAAAGATGCCATGGCATGGCCAGAACACCGTGAGTGTAGCAGGAATTCAAAATAATATGATTCAGTCTCTTGATCAGGTTGAGATTCCTGAGGAACTGAGTGGAAAACTGAGGAGTGTTATTCATGACTGTCGCCTGGAAGACCCAAAAGAACGTCCTACAGCTGATAGATTAGTTCAAGATTACTTTAAAGGTAAGGCCGTCATTTTATTAATTTTTATTATATCTGCCAATGAAATACCAGGTGAGCTTTCCCGCGAAAACTTGATATCTTCACATGTGAAAATAACATAAATAACATGTTAACTTCACACGTTAAAATATCACCGTTGCTATTGCTACATAATAAATCGCACTTTTCACACGAAAAAACTATTAAAGTGAAATGGTTTGGTATTTCATTGGTGTTTATATAATAAACAGAACATTACATGGCCGCTTGGAGATACGAAATTTCTCTTCTCGTGTTGAAAAAATATTTCACTTATTTGCTGCGCTCACTCATGAAATATTTTTCAACACTCAAAGAGAAATTTCATATCTTTGCACGATGATGTAATATCCTCAATATATTTAACTGTGATGCTACTTAAGGGTAATGATCTTGACCACAGATGTGATCCTTAAGAGTTGTTTTGCCAGCGTCCTGTTTGCTAACATCTTAAGTTGTTTTCCTAACGTGTTAATTCATTTTCACAACTTTTATCACCTGATTAATGGCTTAAACAAGAGGTATACAAATGTGTATCGACTTTTTTGTAATGGCTGCAACAATGAGGTATATACTCAGGGTTTTAATTAAGAATTCTAGTAATAGTCATAGGCTATGGATTTTTAGCTGGAGATTTCTGTGTAGTCAATGGAGAATTCTCTGATCTCTGATGCCTAATGAACACCCTATATACTTGCATAGCACTCGTTTTGTTTCATAAGCCTAGAACACCAGTGAAAGGGTTAGTAGCAAAATGACAGATAGGCCAAGCAACCCAACACCACTTTTTTTCATCAACCCCATTGACTGAAAAAGAACCTGAAAAAAGTCAGGCTTGTCCAGGATCCTTGCTATGACCAAGCATAGCATTTTTAACCCAGAGATAAAGCAGCTAATCAGGTTGTATTCTGTGTTGGTTATTTCCCTGGAAAACTTGTGAACTTTCAAGCGTAAGTTTTTTTCTCATGTCTCTTTCAGCTTCTAAGGTTCATCATTGACAGTCATCTGTTTAATCCCCTAGTCACATTATGTGATTTACTTAATTTGCTACCATATTTAGCATCATTTTGATTAATTTTTAAAATAATCTAGTATTTCATTACACCCATAAATTATGTCATTTTATGTTTGTCGTAGGTGATATGAATCCTTATCAAGCTGAAGCTAAAAGTGCTGAATTCTTCTCATGTGGCTTCCTTCAGCACACTTCTATTTTTGTTGCAGAGAGCTTGGTTGATGAGGTAAAGATTAGGCATAATTCTGAGGCACAGTTGAGTGACACAAATTTTCCTACCCAGCTTATCCTGCATTACTTAACAGTGCTAACCCCTGGGTAAAAGGGTCATTTATTGAAGTGAAGGCACCCAAATACTGAAGCAAGGGTTTAAAATGAATGGTCATGTCCAAGGATTTTGTCTAGTGACTGAAAGGTTAGAACCACTTTTTACAGCACCAAAAACAGCACTAAAAAAAGTGCTGCTTTCATTGTTATGGTCACACTTTAGAATTTCTTCCACAGACTCAAAAGAACCACCCTGTGCAGCATAAACAATACCACAGGAAATTGCTGCTCAGTAGCTTTCATTTGGATGGTCACACTTAAGGATTTTATCCACAAACTGAAAAGGTACAAGTACCTTAATACATGACTCAATAATTGACCCAGGAAGTGGAATGGTAACTGTATCAATTATTCAATTTGAATCATTGCAATTTTGCCCTGAGTCTAGTTTTGCTGCTTTTCAATCAATTAGTCGAGTGAAGGATTCTTCAAGACTGGAGTGCGTCCCCAGGGATTTCCTGCTCAGTGTCTTTTGTGCAAAGTGGAAGTGGGAAATGAAGAATATAACAACCTTCCCAAAGAATGGACATACGAGCAAAAATACTGGGAGTATTATGGTCACTTTACAGAGGTATAGAAAATATACATAAGGCGTTTTAACGGGAAGTGGGAAAGGAACAAACTGGCACGCGCGAGAACGCAAGGGACACGCAAGGAAATGGTTCCCCTACTTTCTCCCCTGTGTGCACCCCATTTTTCCTTCCCCTCTCTCCAACCCCTGTGGTACAGGGACGTGAGCAGTGCACTCGAGGAAGCCACCCTGTCCACAGGGTTTTTCACAAAGAAGCCTTTTCCAAGGAAAAAGCCCCGGTAGCCTGCATAGCAGGCGCTTAGAGGTAATGGTCGCAAGAAAGATCGGGGTGCGCGAGGGAGACACATTTTGGGAGATTGAAGACAGATTTGCAGTAACGTAAGAAAACAAAACTCTGCCCGAAGCTTTCCCAGCCACAGCAGAATAGCGACACCTTGGGCGCTTTCCATTTAGGAAAAAAACCCGGAAATTTCGGTGGTAGCAAAAGTGGAATTTCCGATTGGTAAAAAGTTGTTCCATTTGGTCGTAAACCCCGGTACGTGGCGTTTCCCGACCGTGGACCTGGAACTGGTACAAACTACGAGAAACGTAAATGGAACACGACATTCCGTTCGGAAATTCCAACCGGGAAAACGGGACCACCTTTTTAGATTTTCCACTTTTTTTGGGAATTTTCCAGTGGGACGAACCGACGAAACGTGTTCCATTTACCGCCGAACCGGAAATTCCGGAAATTTTGACTAAATGGAAAGCGCCCCTTAATTTCCAAATAGAGTTTTCCCTTTAAATGTATCTTGTTCCTGAAAAATTTTCACTTTCTGCTCGGAAGTGTGGAAAGGGGCTTAAATCTAAACTTGAAGCTAAATTTGAGGATTATCTCCTCCACAAAAGCGAAAAACTAGTAATAAGTTTTATTTTTTAAGCCATTTTCTAATGACCAGGTGTTTTTTTTTTCAGTCTTTAAACAGTTTCTGCCTTCCAAATTAAATTCAATAGTCTGCTCGCAGGCTCTTTCGATCACACACCTCCTAAAGCCAAGACAGCTTGCCTGCAAGGTGAAACTAGAATAAACCATTGAGATCGACTATGGCATCCTCGGAGACCCAGGGGCGGTTAGTCGGGTCGATAAAATGTTTGTGGTGAAAGTTTATTGTAAGATCGATCTTACAGTAAGCTTTCACCATGTACATTTTATCGACCCGACTAACCGCCCCTGGGTCTCCGAGGATGAGACTATGGCATCGTATGGCCATTGACTCTTTTTTTTTTTGGGCATGTCTAGAACGCCATCGATAAGACAATAGGGCACTCTTACTCCATTGCGCTTAAATCTTTGATCACCTCCCGAGAGGAAGAGCAGGAGCAACAGGAAATCCAGCTTTCATTTGGCGAGACAACATACTGTCATCACAGGGCCGTAAGAGAGATCTGGAGGAAACTTGAGGAGTCTAAAAAAAGCGAGCTTGTCGTGTGTAAGAATACAGTACATCCTGTTTTTAGCACCTCATTTGGGCTCCATGTGGCAGTGCTTACGGCGGACAATCCGCAGAAATTTATATTTACAAGAAGATCTAATCAAGGCAAGTTACTTTAGGGGACAGACGTGTGGTTTAATATTGCGCGAGACATTCTCTCTAATTTTTGGCGCTCAACGTTATGTCCTCACTTGCCTGAAACTGTTGTGCGCTGTCCCCAGGGCCCTTTTTTATTCACAGGGATTTGTAGGGAAAACCACCCTTGGAACTAGGTCGAAATTTGAAGGTAGGCATTCGACAAAGGTTACCGGTCATTTCGCCCCGGTTACTTATTCTTCGTTCTATAAGCCAGAAAGCAAAACATGCACGCTTCAAATATAATATTCCTCGTTCTAGAAAAGGGGACTATTTCATTTTGAAGCGCCATGAATCCTCGAAAATAGGGGGCTAAGTGACCGGTTACCGGCAAAATGACCGGTTACCTCGACCAATACCTTATTTCTGTTGCGAACGCTTTCGAGTTTGTCACCGTTTCCATAGTAACTGCTGATCAGTTATAATACGTGCTGACAATAAAATGAACCAATCAGATCTCAGATCAATCAGGTGTACCTGGTTCCAAAAAGCGCGGGAAAAAGCGTGGGAGCAAGTCACCAGGCTTTTGGGGCGAGATTTTAAGCCAATCAAAACGCGTAGCAATTGAAGGTAAAGGCATTGACATCAGCAATGACTTAACAATAACTTAAGTAGTGTGTTTGAAACTAGCAATACACTGAGAGAGGTAGATCAAAGATAGTTTGACAATTGTGATAGTCTTAATTTCTTTTTAAATTGTCCTCTAGATAGTAGTGTTTTTATTTCTTGCGGCAACGACTACCATAATCTATTTCCAGTAAAGCGAACTGAAAATTGTTGCCATAATTTGTGGAGATCTTGGGAAGAGTAAGACGTATTCAGTTTTTGCTTTTTCCTTAATTGCTTGACATGGTTTCCCCGGCATTTGGTTTTAGAGGGAATACCAAGTCCCGGCAAATTCACTTGTGGAGCCGTGGAAAGCGCTTCAGTAAAGGACTATGTCCACAAAGATGGCCAAGCTTACGTGGACCTGATCAAGACAGCTGCGAGAGGACTGAAGGAAGAACTTCGTGTCGAGCTGAAAGGAAGCGATATCGAGGCTCTTTGCCTCACAACCGTATACCTCAAGTTCGACACGCACGAGTGGGGTTGTTGTGGCTACGTCGACCTGTCGGATCCCCGAGTCTCGCCCGAACGCCGACTGACGTACGAGCAGATAGAGTCTAGGTTCACCTCAGGCCCAAAGGACAAGTTCAAGCACGAGGAAGTGGTTGCTGTGGACTTTGAACTTTCGAGGATGGTCGAGTTCGTTCGGGAGAATTACGAAGATTTTGCCAGCTCTACTAAGCTGGTGGTAGTGAAAGTTTTGCAATCGTTTTTTGGAGTTGCTGCTGTGGAGAGAGCCTTTCGTGTTTACATGGAAGATCGAGAGAGCGTTTCCCAAAATGCTGATTCGCAAATTTAAGCCACCTTGTTCCGGGAACGGGTCAAAAAGTTTTTAGAGAGCAACTAAACGAAATAACTGATCTCCCACAGGAAACTTGTACCCTTGATTTATTTGTTAAGAGGGCTACATCAAGTAAATGACATTTTCGCAATTTAGCTAGAAAACAACAGATTAATTACTGAACTAAGGAACAGATTTTAAGGGTGGCTACAGCTGACTGCTGGTACAATCTTCTTCCTAGTTTTACAACGACCCCGGCTAAAAATATATTCAATTGTAAAAGAAATTGTAGAAATGGCTTATTCGAGAAAACTCCCTCCTCAAATGATAAGAGACGCATGGTGGCGAAGAATACCATACTTTATATGAAAGAAGATCATAGCAGTTATAAACGCGAAAAGAGAGCCTGAAAAAAAATTCATATCTCTTTATCATTTTCATTTAAATAATTGTTTGCGTGTTTATATGTCACCTTCATCACATTTATCTATTTATTTATTTATTTATTTATCTTTTACTTAACCCTTAATGAAATGGTTAACTAAAGCAGTGCTGTACATTTTTTAAATACACAATAGTTTATGTAATTTAAGTCTACATCTACATTGGAATACGAAAACCGAACTGGTGAGAAAAAGGCTCGAAGCCTGGTTAGCGCTAACCGTTGGTTAAGAGGTATCAAAATGTATAGGTTTCGATGGTATTTAACCATGCTTCGAGCAACCCGGGCCAGGATTACTGTGACGTAACTTCAAGTTGCGCGCGAAAGCTCACGGCGGTTGCCGGTTAACATTTGAAGAAATTGCGCATGATGTGAAATGACGTAAGCCATCGAGTGAAGAAAACATAGTACGGTCATCCTACTTAACTGGTTGTTTTTAATCAAGCTACAGTGAGCATGGATAATAGAAAGACCCAGTCTTTCTATTATCCATGCGGTGAGTTAGACGCATTTGAAACTTTATTTCTAATTCGTTTTGGAAAGAAAACTGTTAGTACCTTTCTGAGGCATCGCCTGCAATTGTTATGATCTCTTATATTTGCACAGACATTATCGTATCAAAAGCAGATTTTTGAAATATGAGCAGGAAACGAGCAGAGACCTTTCAAGTTTGAAACAACCAAGAAAGATGGAAGTTCAGGACTTGTACGGTAGAAAATAACTATCTTTAAACATGGACTGATGGTAGTCGACTCAGGCACGTAGGGCCAGCTGTGGTACCACGGTTCTAAACGTGCGGAAAGAGAGTCAAAAAAAAAGGTTTCATCCACTGTTAACTGTTTATTTTTTTTTGTGCTTTATCTACGCGAATTTTATTACAGTTTTCTCCGGACCGAGTTGGCTTTCCCTTTTCGGCGCTGACTCTCTTTCCAGGTCTGTTCACTGTGCCCCTGATGAGAATGACAGACCTTCTGGGCAGACTAAAATTTTTAAATTAACACCAGTCTATGTTCCCGTCTATATTAGTGAGCTCACTAGAACTTAATAACAGAGTGACATACCTATTTATCTATTTAATTCTCGTACCATAGCTAAATGAGTATTTACCACTTACTTAATGCTATACATTCTTATTAAAAATAACTAACGTATTTGTGGCTGTTTTTCCCGCAGCTACATGTAGTTTACGCTCAATGAACTAATGTGTGGTCATTGAACTACTGGTGTGGTTACTGATCTGTTGCGTACTTATTGAACTCCTGTGTGGTTATTGAACTAACAAAAAAGAAAACTGTATCTAAAAATAAACCGGGCCTTGAAAACGCCATAACATAGCACTTATGTCCAGGATCCATCTTGTTAGCAAAAATTTGCTAGCAAATTGCTTTCGCAATTGTCGCAAAAGAAATAATTGAGAAAAAATTATGTAAGAAAATCACTCACAAATATCGCAAAAATCGCAAAAATAACATAGCTAGCAAGAATCAATACTTAGAAAAAAAGAAACTAAGAAGGACCCCGAAAGGTCCGCAAATATCGCAAAAGTAACAAGGATTTTTCTTGCTAGCTGAAAACACCCGTGACAAATATCGCAAAAATGGCAAAAATAACAAATCTAAAAAGAACCAATGGCATGAAAAATTCTTGTTACTTTTGCGATTTTTGCGAAATTTGCGGACATCCCGAAGCCATCCTTGACCTTTTCTCTTTCTAAGTGAAGTATTTCGTTAAATTTGTTATTCTTGCTATTTTTGCCATATTTGTTGCTCAATCTTTTCACATAGCAAGAAAAATCCTTGTTACTTTTGCAATTTTTGCGATACTTGGGGACATTTCGGGGCCCTTCTTGGCTTTTTCTGTTTCCAAGTCTTGATTCTTGTTAGATTTCTTATTTTTGCGATATTTGTCACGGGTGTTTTTAGCCAGCAAAAAAAATCCTTGTTATTTTTGCGGACATTTCGGGGCCCTTCTTGGCTTCTTTTCTTTGTAAGTCTGCAATTTTGTTACATTTGGTATTTTTGCGATATTTGTCATGGGTGTTTTTTGCTAACATGAAAAATCCTCGTTACTTTTGCGATTTTTGCGATATTTGCGGACATTTCGGGGCCCTTCTTGGCTTCTTTTCTTTGTAAGTCTGGAATTTTGTTACATTTGGTATTTTTGCGATATTTGTCATGGGTGTTTTTAGCTAACATGAAAAATCCTTGTTACTTTTTCGATTTTTGCGATATTTGCGGACATTTCAGGGCCCTTCTTGGCTTCTTCTGTTTCCAAGTCTTGATTCTTTTTAGATTTCTTATTTTTGCGATATTTGTCACGGGTGTTTTTAGCTAGCAAAAAAAAAATCCTTGATACTTGCGATATTTCGGGGTCCTTCTTGGCTTCCTTTTTTTTCTAAGTCTGGAATTTTGTTACATTTGCTATTTTTGCGATATTTGTCATGGGTGTTTTCAGCTACAATCCCGGACAAAACTGTTGAGACAATTCCATGTATTTTTTTTAACTTTTGCGCCCTACTCCCGTCTCCCCTAAACACAAAACGTAAACCCCCTCCCCACCCCCTATTCAAAGTTGTCTTGGTCTAAAAGCCAACGTGTATAATTGCCATGCTATCCTAAACAACTTTGGATAGGGGAGGGGGGAAATCGGGCATTCATTTGGCGGAGGTTTCAGTTTTTGCCAGGATGACAGGAAAAAACAGGCAGTTTCGCGATTTGTCTCAACAGGTTTTGTCCGGGGTTGTAGCATGAAAAATCCTTGTTACTTTTGCGATATTTGCGGACGTTTCGGGGCCCTTCTTGGCTTCTTTTCTTTGTAAGTCTGGAATTTTGTTACATTTGGTATTTTTGCGATATTTGTCATGGGTGTTTTTAGCTAACATGAAAAATCCTTGTTACTTTTGCGATGTTTGCGGACATTTCAGGGCCCATCTTGGCTTCTTCTGTTTCCAAGTCTTGATTCTTGTTAGATTTCTTATTTTTGCGATATTTTTCACGGGTGTTTTTAGCTAGCGAAAAAAATCCTTGTTACTTTGCGATTTTTGCGATATTTGCGGACATTTCGGGTCCCTTCTTGGCTTCTTCTGTTTCCAAGTCTTGATTCTTTTTAGATTTGGTATTTTTGCCATTTTTACGATATTTGTCACGGGTGTTTTCAGCTAGCAAGAAAAATCCTTGTTACTTTTGCGATATTTGCGGACCTTTCGGGGTCCTTCTTAGTTTCTTTTTTTTTCTAAGTATTGATTCTTGCTAGATTTGTTATTTTTGCGATATTTGTACATAATTTTTTCTCAATTATTTCTTTTACGACAATTGCGAAAGCAATTTGCTAGCAAATTTTTGCTAACAAGATCGATCCTGGACATAAGTGTGTACAAGATGAGCAACTCCGAACTATAATTTTAGACGTCTTAACATCTTATTTGGTACAGTTTTCCGAATATAACCACAATCTTTTCGGAAGGCTTGGCCCTTTACTGGGTGAGCTCATTAAAGTTCGTGTCGAGGAAGAATCCCGCGAGACACACAAGAGATACAAAATCGTGTCCCAAGTATATATTGGCGCGGTCCTAGAGGACGGTATTGACGCGGCTACACAATGCTTAGCTAGTTATGGAACAGAGACTTTATTTGCTGTTGGAATCGTCTTCGCCGTGCAGTTGTAAATAGATATTTTTTTATTCAGATGGACTTTCTTAGGCCGTTTAAAGCCCCCCTCATTTTGTTCGAGGGAAGGAGACGGCTGTACACAGGCTAGTGTTGAGCTTTCAGTCCATGTTATCTTGCATTGGAAGGCGAAACTTTATTTTTCTTTTTTAATCTTTTGGCAACTTTTTAGCAGCTTTTTGTAAGAGAGCAAATAATAGAATTTTTGAAGTTGTTAACATAGTTCTTCATGTTTCGTGTGATACAAGTAAACTTTAGAAATATAATGTCTTTCTGACCGTTGCGCATCGTGCCGCTGTGATGATTAGCTCCAAATATGGATGTGCTTCACCAGAAGCAAAAACAGGGGGAGACGCCTAGTAATCTTCTTTCGAGTGACGACGAAAGAGTGCCAGTTGAGCTTATTCGGGTTGCATTCATAAAAGAAGTCTGTATTGCGGAGCCCAGTAAGTGAACTTCTATTTCAAAATCAGACATCTAATCAACATCCGTGGCTAAAAATATTAATTTCCAGATTTTGAAAGCAACTTTTGGCATACTTTTGGGCAACTTTTCGGCAATTTCATAGTACAATGTGGGTTTCCTTCTTGCGGCCTTTTCTCCGGTGACTGTGAAAGTTACAACCTCGTTCGTAAGGTAATCATCACCTACTCGTCCCTACCAGGCTGACCAGGAGCCTGGCTCCTGTCTCTACATAATAGAATAGGGAGCTTAAGCAACGACAACGGCGACGGCAACGACAACGGCAAAAAGAGCAACAGGTTTAACCTCATACCCAGGTTCTCTCTGACAGAACCCTGGGAACGAGGTTGCAATAGGTTTAGATCGGCAAAACAACAACTTTGCACGTGCATCACGCTTTTTTGTAACGTTCTTTGCCGTCGTTGCACGACTTACAACGTGAAACTTCC